TACGGTACAGTTTACTGTGGAACAGGCTGCCAATGCCTATCCGTAACTGTGATACGTTTACCAGATTCAAAAAGCTAATAACCCTATTTCTAGACTCCAAAGAGCTTCAACATTTCCTTGAACTCCCGCCCACCAATGAGGCACTTTGTTACGGACCGCCTAGTATCTAGAAAGAACAAGAATATAGCATGTTCGACTGTTACTAATATGAATATAACCAAATCACAGAATATATGGCTTATCCTTTCCTATTATTCATTGTTTATTAATCATGGCCTTATGCTCCTAACCCTAGCTTTCAGTTCCCAAATCTCTCTACAGGTTAAATGTACATTATTCTTTCTAAAAGTCATTCCTTTTTTTCTACTGCAAGTAGACAGATAGCTCAATATTATGGATGCTGATCTACTAAGGCCGATCATACAAAGCTCAAAATCTGGCCACAAAGTCTTGTGAGTTTCTCAATATTTTATTTTTCTTACCCTACAATCTTTCTTTTTTTCTACAATTTTATGCCCTCTCATATCTTTTGATTTACTATTAGTCCTTACTTCTTTAAACCATTAGTTATTTTCATAGCAGTGTGATATACTATGTGGACATCTAACCCATAAAACAGACTTTTCAACTATCTGATTTGCTTGTAACATGGACCTAGTAGAGACAGTGTATTCCAACTATGGGCTTTGATTAAAGCAGTATTCATACTTACCACAAACGTAAGAGAGCCTAACATCACCAAAGGAGGGAGGGTGGCGTTACTGACCAGCAAGCATGATGGTGGGGAGATAAATTTAATCCATCAATGTCTGTAGGGTAGAACAATTGGCGAGACTCTAATTTAGCCACGACCTTTGAAGGAATCTTAAATAACTTTGACAATTATTAGCCAATCAGAAGACAGTTAGTATAAAGTGAAAATATATTGTAAGTAAGTAATGATTTACAGTGGATATTCTTCTTTTACATGATTTAAAAACTTGTTAAGGATTGATAAAGGTTCAGAGGTTCTGAATTCATAACACATTTGGTATAGAAACTCATCCATAGGGTTAGTGGTTAGGGTTGTAGCCTAGGGTTAGGGTTAAGACTAGGGGTTAGGGTGCTAACATGCGATCAGTTTACAACGGATTTGAGAGGTTAGGGTTTAGCGTTAGAGGTTAGGGTTAGGGTAAGGGGTATGGTTAGGGTTGGGGTTGAAGCCTGTCAATAAACGCCTCTTCTCTAAAATCCGATGTAAACCGATCGCATGTTAGCACCCTAACCCTAAACACTAACCATAACCCTAACATTAACCTCACCCTAACACCAACCCCTAACCCTATGGACGAGTTTCTATACAATATGCATTATGAATTCAGAACTTCTGAGCCTTTATCAATCCTTAACAAGTTTTTAAATCATGTAAAAGAAGGATATCCACTGTAATTCATTACTTTCTTGTAATATATTTTTACTTTATACTGTCTTCTGATTGGCTAATAACTGAAGTTGCTCAAACGCTTCTCATTGGCTCGTCCCTAAATTAGAGTTTCGCCGTCCCATCTATTTTAACTTCTCATTAATCACCTCCTCTCTAAAATCCGCTGTGAACCGACCGTATGTTAGCATCGCGTGTTGAACTTGGCTCCGTGACCTTGAAATTGCTCAAACGCTTCTGATTGGCTCGTCGCTAAATTAGAGTCTCGCCGAACAATTTGTTTAATTACGGCTCCTTATGGTTTAGTGGGATGTCACGAACTTATGGTATTCATGCTGATTTATCACGCAAAATACCTCTTTAAATCGTGTTACGAACGTTGAATTGGTTTCACTTCCTACCTAGAAATCCTATTACAAGCAAACTAGACAATTCGCTTATATAGGAAGCCCACTCAAGACCCTATAATACCTGGAAAAAATGATAATACAAATAAAAACGAAAGGGGCTCTAATAGCTTCGATAATAAAAGGAAGATAGCCAATTGTATATCACAAAACTGTTTCTAGCACTATATTTTATTTTGTAATCACACATAATCCCATACTCTCAGCTCCTTTCCGAATCGCCTCCATTTATCAGTTGTATATTCACTCACACCTTGTTAACACTTATTTTCTTTAACCTATTAAACTGCTCTTTCTTAACAAATACCTTAATAAAAGAAAATTAGACTGAGTAATCATACCTTAAACATTTCTTCATGAATATTGGCTACTCTGCCTCTCGTCCTTTCTGGCATGCCTCATGTAACAAACTGTTATTTGAGAATAAATTATTATTGTTATTATTATTATTACTACAAATTGTCGTCATTATCTCTCACAAGCCCATTTAAAAATCAGTTAGCCTGAGTTTGATTCTATAAATTTAAGCAACAAGCGAACAGTAACGCCTATAGTCTAGCGTTATTCCGAGCTAACCTCTGGTGATCGGTGGGCAGCAAGCAGTTGGCTGCCAGCAAACGTAGTATTTCTGATTCAGCACTTACTATTCCATAGGATGTTTGAAAATGTGACAAAATAATTCTCTTGAATGCATTGAAGAGAAAATACTGAGTGCACAATGTAAATGCATGGGAGGTCATATGAACATTGAGCCAGTATATACATGTAGCTTGATAATAACAATAAAAATGTAGAATAATCACCGGAGAACTGCATAGCTGTTAGAGTCATGAATGTCATCAAAATGGAGGTAATTACAGTTCAAAACATCCTATCATGGTGCATTCAGTGCCAGATACTAGGGCGTGGGTTTCAGAATTTCTGGGACCTAAATATACCAAGGAAGTCGAAATAAAACTCATATTGTAACCATAATATTTAGAAAATATACAATAACGCTCCACGTCCTTGCACTTAGGGTTGTCTATGAAGTTCTAGATTTTCTATAGTCATTTTTATGGTTCTGCTTTTTAAGCTAACGCTTCCGTTGTCTATGAGCGTTTTCAACTTGATTACTAGTATTCTTCCACTCTAGAATTGAGAATTGATTGTTCTCATGTAAAGAGTACGATTAAACAAGCTTACATTTCGAATATATTGTCAAGATCTTAAAATTTAATTCACATCAAACAACTTACGCTTAATAACTGAGCACATATACACATCGGGAGTGAATTTATCCGCAACGCAACCATGTAAACTTAATGTATCGCCCAGTGTAATGATGGTCATCTGTGCGTTCAAGTAACCACAGATTTTGTCATTTCATAATGTATTTTTAATTAAATAACTAGATTATGTTGTTAATTTTGCTCTGTTTTTAATTTTTATTCGCCACGTCTGACTGCGTTACACTGTACGTTCATTGCACGCTGGAATGATATCTCAAGTCATAGTTAGTTTAATCACATAGTTGATTGTTTCAAGATTCAGTCACAAACAGTAAGCTAACATATTTTCTAAATGTGGCAGACGATAAATATATCAAAGAGAAGGGTTGGTGTGATATCCAGACAGAAGATAAGTGGATGATAACTGCTAGGAATTATTTAATGGAATATTATTACTCATATCCCTATTGGATAACTGCTTACTATAATCCTTAAGTAATTCCCAATCTATTAGTTACGGTCTCTCACACTCACAGTCACTTTTGGACTGATCTCGTATAATCAATATTTTTCATCCTACGGTGTGATGCGGTCTAGTCTGCTTGTGTGTAAACCACGTATGTCTGAAATATACGATTTACAAAGCGGAGATTGATATTTATGTTCTGAACTGAACCGGGCAAAGCTAGACAAGGATGATCAATAAAAACCAGAATTGACGCAAGACTGCTAGTGTTCTCTTGATGTGTCATTTGGTTAACACAAGAGTAAGGTCATATAAGTCAGTATTCGCATTGATTTTGTCGCGTGATAACTAACAGGGCAAAAGTCATGACAGTTGAGGTCTCATCGACTCCGGCGAAGTGACGAAATTTGTTGTATTGTTCAATTGCATAAAACAGTTTGCTCCTATTTTCTAGGTTAGTAATAGAATGTAACCGACCTAAATGTATACATGGGAAGCCATGGACAGTTCGACGACATAGGAAAACATCTACCAACAAATGTTCACACAGCGCAACATAGCCGTAGTTTCGGCTTACTAACGAAGTAATCAAGTAGCGGTTTGTCAATCAAGAATTTGAAGTCAGGAGTGTGGAAGTGTATTGAGGAATCTTGACATGTTGAAACAAATAACGGCGAATTGTTTGAAATGAATGACTGTAACGGTATTAAAAATCATTACGTATGACGTTACTAATGCGAGTTTGTTTTCCTTATTGCAGGGCAACAAAGGGTGAACGTACTAGAAGAAAAGAAACAAGCTTTACGCAAGCTGAACCTGCAGAATAATGAATAAACCCATTTTGTAATAAGCTTCCCTTTTTTTGTACTCGAACCGCGTCTTTCAATTTTCAAATATATCTCTGTTGTGCCAGTACGCCGCGTTCTCACTTCAGAGGCAGTTACCAGTTCTGACTGTTGTGTTGTTGTTTCAGATCGTTCCTGCTTCCGAATAAACACTAATACAACGTGCTACATGACAATGGCAGTAGTCATTTACCAAAAAGACTCAGTTTGCAGTGATTTTACTACGCGCGAGTGGGGTATTGTATGTGTCTGACTCCAGTTTAAATGTTTATAGAAATTAGCCAGTAAGAACCCAGAGATCTTGCGTGATTTTTAAATGCGTAGAAGTATCGGTCGAAATACTCCCAGAACTACTTAACGAAGAATTGCCATTAAATAAATGGAGATAAACTTGTGGCGAACGCAAAATGATGAAATATACAAAATGACCTATCGTTATACATAATTAGACAATTAAACAACACAGCAGAGGTTTTCCTTAGCTGGAAGTTTGACAAAAACACATGATTAGCATGGGTGCTTGTTATTCAACGTTATATGAAATATATAGGTCTATTAAGAGCACAGGTGCTACTAAGTTTAGCTAGCCTACAAACGCAACATGACCTGATTCACTTTTGATATGGATTGGACTCCTTGAGCTAAGCCACTCAAGGTCGCCAAATCGACAAGGTGGTAATTAATTCCTGCATCTACTGAGGTGTTGACGTAGTAGTCGGGGTACTCCATTGTAAGTATTTTTTCTCATGTATGTTAGTAAATTGTCCGGAACGTCCAAAGTCAAGTTGAAACACTTTGGGATAGTGACTCTCAGTTATTCATTTGCACATTCACCAAGTTACTGATGGATAACTCAAACAATACTGTTTGCGTTGTTCTTCATGCCACAAATAACCAAAAAAGTGGAAATAAAGGCGAACAAAGGGGAAATAAAGAGGTAAATGCTTTGGAAGAGAAAGGGGAAATGAAGGGGAAAACGCATCAGAATGTCGCCTTTTTCGCCTGTCCGGGGAAAATACTGCGGATTCCCCCCTTTTTTTGCCGCTTTGTCGATAAATTGCCGACTTTTCGCCTAAATATCCGCTGAATTGTCTACTTTCCGTCTAAATATCCGCCAAATTACCCACTTTTCGCCTAAATTTCCGCCGAATTGTGGAATTTTCGCCTAAATGTCCGCCGAATTGTCTACTTTTCGCCCAAATTTCCGCGGAATTGCCTACTTATGCGCTTTGGAGTGCGCACTCTAAATCCAAAGTACCAACTACTTAAATACGAACCCATCTGAAAAGTGGATGAGTTGTATGAATTGAGTGATACAAGTAATCCCTGCTTTAAACACATAAAAAAGAGACTACGATTACTCATATGTCTTCAGAGATAATGAAAGGATACTCGAGGATCTACGTTAACCCTTAATTTTTAATATTTCATTTAATACATCCACTCAACCAGTGAGTTCGAGTCTTATAATTTTGTTTCATTAGACGTGCACACATTGTCTGTGAGTCCCCATATTCTAATGTCATCTGTAAAAGTAGTACGAATAGTTTCATGACACTCGCTAGGTAATTTGCGTTAAGTGAAGAAATAAAGAGGATCAAAATTGTCCACTCTTCAAATTTCATTGATAACGATGCACCGTTTACTCTTACTCGCCACTTCCTATAAGTGAGAACGTTAATTATTCAACCTCCAACTCCGTTATTGGTCCCAAAATTTCGTATTTCACTTTAGTACCTAGATAGGAAACTTTGCCAAAGACTTTACTTAGACCGAAGAAAATTACATCTCTGTGTATTCTGGTCGTTTGCTGTAATCCGGTCTCCCTTTGGAGTGAAAAGATTAATCAAATATGAGACTTCCTAACCTGATTTTTTCTCTCTAGAAGACTAGTCCATTCCACATGATATAGACTAGCGAACCGAATAACACTTCCCATTTTGTTTGATAACCACTGATTAGGCTAACTAGGTGGTAGTTATTGACTAAGTATTTACATCTGATTTTATAGACCAGACTTATTTCATCTTCCCGGTTTGTTAGTTGGCTTCAGAGAAATCAGAGCAGTATTGCCGATGGCTCCACAGCTACGTCTGCAATTGCTACTATGATTCGGGCATGGGTATCGTTGGCACCACTGAACTTATCTGGTTCAATGTGTTGGGGTAGTCGCAGAGTAACTTCTTTGTTAATAAACAAAGGGTCCGTCAACAACGCTCCATTGTTGTTGATGGCTGGCCTTTTACCATCGTCAGTAGGAAACATTATCATTATATTATGACAAGACTTCAACTTTGCCAATACTAATCGGCAACACGTCTTTGTTTCATATTGAGAGGAAAACCCGGATAGCCCAATCGTAACGTCTCTGACTGTGAAGCTGGGTGACACGGGGTCGAATCCGCCAGGGAGCACCAGTTCCCTCAAGATTACAGGTACGCCTTGCTGACTAGTGCCAGGTAGCACGAAACCCAGGTCCAGGGTTTCCTGTCATTTACCTCCAACCACCATCTAATAACAATGCCCCCAAATGCCCTGGTATGACCGAGAGTGGGGAGAGTCCGCTCTCCCTCTCGAAATGCTCTCACATGGCTACGCGTATATAGCCTCTGCCAGGGGAGTCCTACTCACTGCCTTCTCGTGACGGAGGTGTTGTTTACGAAAATGAGAGGACAAAAAGCGAATGTCCGGCGCTTTAACCGGATTTCAAACCAATGGTGCACATGGGCTCCAGTACCCTGAGGGAACGAATGGCGTATGAACCAATTGTTGGTCACCGGCTACCATAGGACTGCATCTCCTTACGTTGCTCCACTGCCTTGTAGATCAGACCTTCATGTCGAAGGCTCCGGGTGTGGCCCCCTAAGAAAACCACCTGCCTCGATTCGGGCACCCGGGCAGTATCACAGCCCTCACACATATCGAATGAGATTTGTGTGGTGCATATGTATCTGGTGTTCCTTGTACCAATATCTGTGTTAAAATAAATAAATAAATACGTTAGCTATTACTTAGTTGTACGTCAGGTCTGTCTCCAAGGGTTTTTTCTATTGGGTGGGTCTGTATAATCTTCAGTCTTGTTATCCAGTACTACACTATATCTAACTGAATTCATTCTAAAAGTCTAGTGTTTTATGATACAGTAGGGAAATTAGGTGTTAGAATGATCAGATAGTTATTTTAGACCAGGACAGCTATCGCAGCTTTAGGAGACTTCAGTCTTCTTAATTTCATACATGCGGTTCAGGGAATGACTTCACTAAAGCTAAATTATTCAACCACAGAACAGTATGTTTGTCCAGAAATGAATTATCAGCAAATAAAAAGAGCTCACATTTCGTCTTTACTGACTAACTTTTTTAATTAACAACCTTAATTCTAGATCCTTTTGGGAAGTGATAAGGGTGTCGTAGTTCTCCTATTTGTTCATGAAATTCGAATAAAGCATTCTTCCGATCAATACGTTATATTTGCAAAGTTAAACCCCAACATATTAAAGATGAATTCTCAACAGGAACACGGGGTAGTCCACTGATTGATCTAAGTGTTCGCTGGAATTTCCTGATCACTGTAATCTTGTGTGCTTCTAATCAGTCTCACAAATGGTCAGTAAAACCTTTAAACAATTTAAGATTCTACACAGCCACACTGTCAATCCAATTAAACTGAAAACATGTTTGATAGACTGCAGACGAACATTCGACACATTGACAGTTTAAAAAAAGAAGAAACCTTTGTACTAAGGTTCTCACTAAGTTCGTTCCACTTTCCCGGTGGGGGCTCACTGAAATGTGGTGACATATGCTCGTGTACTGCTCTCACATTCGTTGATCCGCGTTTTAGTTCTGGGTTATGAAAAGTTTACCCAAGGTTCCGGCCCAATGACCCTACAAACTAGCGACCAGTGACTCTTCCCTCAGCACAACCTAAAGTTATGCAACCCCTAGTCTCCACTGGCTCATGGAACTATATTTTACCAGCAAATATGTTTATTCTTCAATACCCTGACCATAGCTGCTACCTTGACATGGTGTTCGGGCTTCCCTATCATGATGACTCGGTTGAGTTGTATTAACTGGAACACATGTTCCTTTAGGTCAAATTTTATTAGGCCAACAATGGTTTTTTGCAACAATCATAAAGAGGTTAGTGTTCAGTTGCCATTAGAGAGATGGTTTAAGCCGTGTCTCTTCCTTCGGCAATTCGTTTTCAGAATTTCCGTACGGAGTTCCGTATTAGATCTACTGATCGTTTTAATTTCTATAAACAATCCCCAGAGGTTATTTATAGAAACCCCACACAACAATACGCTGGTAAACACCAAATATCTTAATAAACAATCGCTATTTCGTTACGTTTGCTAACAAAATTAGCCGTTATCCATAAGGATAATTTGTTTGTTGAATTGACTCTACAAAAGAGTTGTCTATTACAAGTAAGTGTTACACTGAATTGGATTGCAGCCAGTTTAATCGTCTCACTAGCACCAAAGGCAGACTCAAGAACCCGTTCCTAGTTACCTTCATGTATACATTAGCGCGTATGTCGTAAGGATAGAGAGTTCTGTAAAAGAGTTGTTTGGTAGGTACCATGTTTATATCTGTTATCGGGAAGTCCTTGGGGTAACTTTGATCTTACTTAAATAAATATTGACTACTTACTCATGTAGCTTAAATTGACTGTTTGAAAGTGATTTATTTGTCATGAACTTGTTATTCAACTTATTTTGTCTTTCAAAACACAATTTCAGTTGTAACGAATCACGTACTGCTTTCATTGGAATCGGTAACATCCAAGTAATCGTCTACTACTGAGCTGGGTTCTAGAAACCTCATTTCACTTAATAACATTTTGGGAAAAATTACTTCGTATCACACCATAATAAATGTCTCAAGGTTTGATAAACAGATGTGGTGTATTACTGAATTGTTTTCATGTTTTAAAGCAATTTATCTTAAATCTAATATTCCGCATTTTTTGTTATTTACAGATGAACTTCTGGACACCAAGATTTCATTGATTTATTTCGTAATCCTGACTAAATAATGTGGTCTCTGGGAGATGTTTGCATTTATCAGCATGAAAACAAAGTTTATGATTTATTTGTTATTGAGGAAATCAATTTGGAAAACTCACTTGTTACTGTTCGTTCAAGCAGTTACACAACTTCATGTTATTTCAGTGATTTGCTAAATATAACACCAGAAAACGTTAAATTATTATGTGAAAATGATAAAATCACGTCAACTCTAGACGTATGTGGGATTATTCTGCTCTAAGTTTGTCTTTAGTCAGTGGATTATTCGTATTTTGCTACAAAACTTAACACTTTATTAAATCTGCCGCTCTCTATGGTTTGTTTTAAAAGTAGTATCAAATAACAAAAGGCACTTTATTATATGTAGAATACAATTAGCTTGAAAACTGAAAGCCAAAAGAATCCTGTCCAATTATGGAACAATGGAGATATGTGCATTTGCACATGGAGTGAAGATGAAGCCTATTACTACGCTAAAATATTAACAGCTGATTATGAAAATGATATTTTCACAGTATCATTTTGTTTTTATGAGAATGTCGAACAGAAATCCTCTAAAGATCTGCATTATATTAATTCTGAGTTTGAGGCGTACGTGACAGACAATATGAATAAATCATTTGCACTTTCAATGAAGGTATTGTTATCATTGGTTAATGCTTCATCTTTTTATTTAGGAACAGATCAGTGATCAATGTGAACTCGAGGAAGATCATGATAGTAAACGGTAAGTATCGTGGAGTATGTTTATTATTATCCAGGGTAGTGGATTATTATAGGTTATCATTATCATCAAAAAAATAGTTTTTGTTGGTCCTTTGTTTCCTGTTGCCTTTGTGTATTTCTTTTTAACTTAGGGGCGAAATGGAAACTTTTCAAGGATTATAACTAAGTACAAAATTAGCTAAATACCACCGACACCAGGTAATTTTTACCCATCGTCTTGTACCAAATTTGTCAGTAGTGTGCGTAAAGAGATTTATTTAGTTTCAAAAAGTGGTCAATTAATCCGAATATCTATTAATTTGAACAAATTGGTAGTAGCAGCGAAGTTTTTGAGACCGATCAACTGTGATATTCATTATAGGAGTAAATTTGAGCTGGTTTGACCAAAAATAGAACCTTTTGGAAATGCCAGTTTTTCCTTTCTTTATATTGTATGCAATGACTGGCCAGATAGATTGATGAAGTAAATCTGACCCCTATTAAATAATGATTGGGTACCCTGTGTACAAAGTCATGGATTTATCTTAGTTTGCATTTTTTGAGTAATATATATTCCGTTAATAGTTGAATTAGTTACCTATCGAATGCATCGTCTACTTTCAGATTTCTCATTATCTGAATAGCTTTTGCAGTATGTATATTCAGTGTTACTGAGTTCTGACGTGACGTTTGTTACCAGTTATTAGTAGGTATTCACTATTTTATCCGTTTTCAGTGAGGAATGATGTGCTAAGCAATTTCCTCACCATCTAGGTTGTAGTTGTCAGTCACTCGTAACAATTAAATATTCTTATAGTCATGTCAGGAGTAAGTAATAAAGGATGTTTTTCTGAGTTGTAACTAATATCGTTGTGTTGGGGGATCGAATTTTATCTCATATGTAATACTCCATCTATCTGTCAAACAGTAAATTACAGTGGGTTGTATGAAATGTTTAGTTCTCACTGTTCTTAACTGCCGTTTAGTAGAGAGATGGAAAGCTCTAAGAACAAATTATGCTCTTAACTTTTTTGTTGTGGCTTTACTTTTTCCCTTGTCTCTATATTTCTTATTGTGTTACTTGTAAAGTGTGACCAACTTGAACGGTTCACCATTCTGCTAGGCTCTCGGTTGCTTCTTCTTCACATTTTCTTTAATTAAGAGGGAATTTAAAAGGTACCAAGTGCTAACAGTTAAAGTGCTATTTACTAATTTAATCAGAAACTTCCGGTCAAAGTAACAAATACTTTATGTATATCTGTTAGCATACCTGGTCTACCCTTGGTATTGGCTAACAGTTCAAAGTAAGATGGCGGAAAATATTTGTAGCTTAGGTTGAGGATTTTGAGGGTGTTTTGTTTGCTAAGCTCTGTGATTTGATCGCGAAGCTTCTCATGATCTTTCTTGATAAAGTCATCAGCGCACACTCAAAGAAGAAGTGAGTTACTAGAATTGTTCCACAACTGACTAGCTGTTCTCTTGACTTGGAATTCGGCTGGTTATTTCTACGATTTTTTTATTGTTTTCACCGACCTTTTCCTTGTTGGTTGATAGATTGGGTCACTCTCGACGTGTTTATTGATCAATGCGTTACCAGTGAATCATACCGCTGAGGAATCTCTAGCTTTCATTGTGTTTCCTCTGTCCAGTATTTTAACGTTTTTTCAATCGAAATCATGCCCATAATTGTCCACAGCTAGTAAATTACGGAGAAATTCTAATAATTCACGTCTTACTGAAGTGTGTGCTGTAGATATCAAACAGGACAATAAAAACTTCACGGTTAAATCAAAGAGCTTAAAGAACAAATCATTCAAAAAAGTTTAAAGTAGATATTGCAATCGACTCAGAAAATATATCGGTCGTGAAATTTAATTTACGCAAACTGTATTGAGAATATAAGTGTATAGCCTTCCTCCTAATATGAAGAAATTACTGGTGTGATTAGTCTGTAGAACGTTTGATCACAAGAATAAAACCAAAATTCTGGATTTGTCTCTTTTTAAAAACTATTTACTACCGAATCGTATCGTAATCTAGCTTCTCACTTCACTCTTTGACAGTGTGGTTGTATTTTCTCCAGAGTAATATTTTTCAGTGTTTATCATGTGATATTGGTACAACGACTCAGACTTTAGTTTAACTATTTTGAAGTCCGTAAGTATTTGCTTTAAAATAAATCGGTCATTACCTTGCCAAATTTTAGTTAAAGTGTTATAATTCTTTCTAAAATGGATTTTTAGAATTTAACTAGAAGAAATCGCCATTCAATAAATTTTTTTGAAACAACAGTATGCGATCACTGTAAAGACAGCTAAACTGTACCTGGTAGTTTGACTGACTTTAAAGTAGTAGGTAAATACGCGGAACGCATTTGGTCGGTATATTGTTATGTAAGACTTCTTGAACTCGAATGACCTGGAAGAAATTTCTGTGACTTGCATTCTATATAGGAATTTTTACAGTTCACTTAAAACTGTTCTTGAAAATTGAGGGGACTTGATAAATTATTTAATTTTAAGGATCCTTTTAGCTTGTTCTGCCATCGTAACAATCCATTCTTTGTAGATATTGTATATTATTTATCCTACGTTTTATTGCTGTTTTGTAATATTCAATAGTTAACACTCCGGGTTAAAACTTGTGTATTATTGTTTTGGAACATTTTTTATTCTCAGGGACACATACGAATCCTCTGTTCAAGATGAGGACATAAAAGAATTAAATGAAATTACTTCTCATTTGCACAAAACTTCACTTAATCCACTTATTCCTCGTAATAAAAAACAGGGATCAAAAATTAAAAATTCGTGTAAACCTGGACTTAATGAATTTTCGGTTGAGAATATATCTCAGTCCACAAAACAGAATCGATCATTAGATTCTTCAAATATACAACAACACATCAGTGAATTACAATTACATCCATTATTGCTGAGTTGGTTTATTTGTGGTTACCAAACTGGGTTTTACGAAGTGAGTAGACAAATCATATAAATGTTTAACCTCATCAAAAATGAGAATTATGTTTCAGAAACTGATAGGATATACAATCTTAACATTTATCAGTTACATAGTGTTCACTGTTTGTGTAGGATGTGTTAAAATTGTAAATAAGTGTCCTCAACATTTTGAAGATAACAAAAGATACGTGAACACTCACTGATCATAATTTTATGCTAGAGGTCTAGGATCTCGATTTTATACTAGAGTACATTGCATTTTTTAGTCTTACCATTTCGTCCACTTACTGTAAATCCATGATAGAATATTGTCTTAGTGATAGTCTTCCACCATGTCTCATTATATGGGTGTAACTAAATTTTAGCGTTCTCCAGAGGTTTAAATATGAAAAATCGAAGAAATTGACACGATAAGATTTAATCAGAGTGAATGTTAACTAAGATTTACTTTGTGTTAAATAACTCATCTTTTTGAACGGTAACATATCGTTAATGTATTGCATAATTTTCACTGGATAATGACATCACAAGTAGTAAGACCACATTGAATTATTAGAAATACCCATTTCGTCACTTCATTTTCTGAATATTCCGTATACTTTTCAGCTTGATATTTGTAAAAACCAATTTTTTAAATAGAATAATTATAAATATTTGAAAGAAATAATATTCAGTTTAAATGTTCTCAATAAATTGAAGTGTACACTCTTTGTCAGCTCTATAAATTATTTAATTATCTATGAATCGTTTGTTATTATAATCTCATTGGTTAAAATCCATGGAGCCTAATTAATTTTCATTCGGATGTTGAAATATCTATGATTTTTAAGTTTAAAAACATTTTAATCCAAAAAATCTCAAAATAGTTCAGTCGTTTTGAGGAATTAAATTTGCGACTTGAAAAGTAAAAAAAGACTAAATTTATATCGATAGTATGATGTTATGTATTACTAATTGTTAATAAATAGTTAGTTGGAAAGTAGAATTATTATTAATTACATGTGGATAAGAAAGTAGATGTTTCACATTATACAGAATAATTTTCTAATTATTCCAACAAGTTGAATTTAGATAAAAGTAAAAAGACTAAATATGTGATCCAAATAAATGTACAATAAACTGGTAATTATTCATTAGTTAACTGTTGAACAGAATTAGTATAAGCTTTAAATGTAGCCTAATGTTGTTTTTGATTACAAATTACAATTAACATATTCATATTTATGGTGCAGTTGACAAGTTTGCTTTAAACAGATGCAGGTTTATCATTATAATAATAATTAGTTAATCTAGAAACTAATGAACTCAAAAAACCAAAAAGAGAGAATCATTCTCTGCATAATTTTCAATAATCTTAACTAATTCATTCCGACTAGTAATAGTTTCAATAGATTTAGTTTTTAAGGGTTTGAATTATGCCATTATTGACTGAATTTTGATCAGTCTTAGTATATTTGCATTGCATGCGGATTACTTTGATATAGTCATTCCATTACTAGTTTTATAGAAGAGATGAATTGCGGTTAGCAATGGGATTAAGAACGCGCATTTCATCCCATTTAGTGTGAACATGAACACTGCAATGAAGGTAGATCCAGTCAATAAGTCCCATTTTACACTCCACTTCTAATCACAATCCATCTCATGAGAAATTCAAAAGTAACCAAAGAGTGTGCTACGTAGTTGTAATTCAGTTTATTAATATAAATCAATGTGCTTTTTCTTCTACCATTACATCGATTTGTGTAATAAATATTACTAAACTGTTGTTAAATATAATCTAGTAGGATTATCATTATTATTTGAACACATAAATATAGGTAGAAAGGGGCACCGAATACATATGGGCTACACAGGTCACTTGATTTGTGTGTGTGCTATGATACTGCCCGGTTGCCCAAACCGAAGTAAGCAGCTTCCTTAGGGGGTCACACCAGGAGCCGTTGACCTATAGGTCTGATCTACAAGGCAGTGGAGCAACATCGTGAGATGTAGTCCCATGGTAGCCAGTGACCAACGATTGGTCCGTACTACTTATGTTCCTTCAGGACCCTAGATTCCATGTGCACCATTTGTTCGGAGTCAGGGTTTTCTAACTCCCCCTAGGTGGATCATTTGTGTCAACCAACCCGGTTAAAGCCCCAAACATCCGCTTTTTGCCCTCTCAATTTCGTAAACGACAGTTCCGCCACGAGAAGGCAGTGAGTGGGGCTTCCCTGGCAGTGGCTGTATACGTGTGATGTCAGAGCAATTTAAGAGAGAGAGCGGACTCTCCCCACCATGGGTCATACCAGGGCATAATGATATCTAGTAGAAATATTTTAACTTGGAAACTTTAAGGACTTAGATGGTGATATTTAATACTATAAAAGTTTTGAGCAATATGGTGTTTGAAGTTTGTTCAAGTTAATAGGGTATTACATAACTACATGTAACCTAATGAATTTCACTTGTTTGCCAACATAACATATCCCTTATTAGATGTGAATGTTCTCTGCTTACATATCCAGTGCTACAAAACTAACCCGAGTAATCAATATTTTATTAACTAGCCAATTTTTATAAAGTGGTTACGAATGTCGTGTCATAATTTGAACAGTCACCTACGTAATATATTTCGCAATAAACAGTTGCTAAATATCATATGCAAAAAATAAGTAGTGAATATACAATAAACTGAATTATTGATGAGGTCAACGTCTATACAGGGATTAATTGTTCCACTGCGAAAACAAAATTATTGTCTAATATCATACAAATTATTGAACAGATTCACGTTTGTTTGACAATATTTGTGATCATAAGAATGCTGAACAATGCATACATAATCGTTTGTTGGGATTACTTGATCAGGAACTTGTTGCAAAGTATTTACTGACGAAGGAGAAAGATACATGGAGCATACAGATTTTGTGTACGGTTTCCGATTCTTGTAGAAATGAGAATTACGAACCTAAAAATGCCAATAAGTTCCTCTTTCGAATACACTAACAACGTGCTTTAGTGCTTCCAGCAATGAAAACGCTACCAGAAACAAAATATCTAAGTGCATATTTTCTGTGTCCCTGATCAACTTACTCCTTCTTGCTAGATTATTATTGTTCCGAATTGGGAGAAAGGCAAATAATCCAAAACTTTTTCCTTTTTTGTATCCGTTTTTCTATAATAATAGCAACTACCGATAGCTTCATTTTTAAATTGTTGATTTCATTCGATGATAGGCTATACTGATAATTAGCACAGTAGGTATAAAAAATTTTCATTCATGAGTGGGTTGGTTGTGAATATTAGATTTTAATCACAATAGGGCTAGGATCATATTTGAGAATATTTTAATTTTATCTGAATTATTTCTAGTTACATTAGTCACTTCATTATTCGATTTGTAAGTAGTAACTTACTTTATATTACTTGTAAAGTCTGATTTGATTTACTTCAGGATTTATCCTTACTTCTCGACTACTTTGCAGAAGCTTTAGTTATATATAATCTGTGTGTAGTTCCCTTCGATGTTCTATTTTTTGACCTTGCAATTTTATCCTGCTTCATCTGTTATAATGTAGCATTTCTTATCAGAAGTTTATCATTTGATTTTATTATCATTATTACTATTATAATTGTCTTATCATCTTTGACTGTATGTATAATCTACACTACAACATACTTTTACTGCACACACTATATGAAAACCAGTTTCGGGACATCGGTCCCATACTTAGGTTTTTTTGATTTTATTCGGATTTCATAGTTGTGTGGTTCAAACAACCTTGGTACGGTCAGCATTTTGTCTAGTACTTCTCATATTGGTATTTATTTTACTATGTGTTAGTTCCCGTTGTGAAGGTTTGACTTGATAATTTCAAATAAGTTGGTTGAGCTGATCATTTATGCTAACAAAATAATGGAATGTCATGAATCCTGAAACTACACAGAATTAAATCGTTCTATATAACAACTAGCACTCTTCGAATTAAAGGAAAGATCTCTTTTACTTCTTCATAAAGCTGTATTTAAAAACTATGTTTAAGTGTTTTAGGTCAAAGAGTCTTCCCGTGAAATCTCGACCAATTCTAAAGAATATCTAAACTACACAAAAAAACCTTATAGATCTGTAGAGCTGGGAAATTTACTGACCAAATCAGCATTAGTATTAGATGCTTATTTTGAAGCCATCAAGTCGATATAAAAAATATCAAAATTCAAAAAATTCCTTCTAAATATAGAGAAAGACTGACTGTTAAAGCTTTGTTAAACGCCACAACTAACAATAGTAGGAAAGACCTAACTATTCAGCGAACTTCAACCGTTCATTCAAACAATCGCATTTAAATTTGTTCATTTCTTATATAATAAACACATGATAATTCTGCTCTGTTCTTTCGGATTTAAAAAGTATTGCATTTTTCACACCCACTCGCATACACAATGATATCTAATACAAAATCACCTTGACCGAAATCTTGTTACACTGGTACGATCAGATTCAGTTTAATCGTACCAAATATTCTGTCTTGTCCTTCTGCACTGTTTGAATTTGCGTGAGCTTGATTCGGCTATTTAATTATTTTTTGAAGGAGACATGAAACGTCAGAAACTCAATTTCTTAATCACTAAGGTACCACAAATATGTGGACTAGTTTTGCTTACATTTAAAGTGAGTTTTAAAAACTAATTTATTGGTTTAGTCGTTTGACTCTGGACTAATGAGTTACGTGTACAAAGCCTCTCGATCCCAACTTGGAAACGTCTCTTAATGTACTCAATCGTAACTACTTGCCAAAAGCTTCATGGATTTATGCCTACTCTTAATCCGTCACTTATTGACGTAGCATATTAAGGTAGATGTAAGCTTTTGTGTGACTCGTGCAACCGTTCTCTAAAAAATGCATGCTTTATATTGTTGTCAAATATAATATCTTGATTTTTTGGTTCCATTGATTACTACTGCATTACTTTTAAAATTACACTAAATACTTGAGCTCATTAGTAGCGGGTTACTGTAGTTATTTACCGCAATTTTTAGTGTTAAATAAAGCATGCTAATAAGTCAACTTCATAAGCACTACAAAACTATGTCATTTTTACATGTATTGAAATTCATGTATTTATCATTCAAAGTGTTGTCAATTAAGATCGCTTTCCGATTTGTATTCTTTAATAAAATGTGTAGAGGCTACGCTATATCTGTCTCTTACATCACTACGTTGAAGCGGTTACATCGGCAAGAATAGTTTTGTTCGATATTGCATAGAAAAATAATACCATGCAAAATTACTTTATGATGGTACTTTGCGTTTATCCAAACAACCAGGTATTATTTCATACTTTCTATAAAAATGCATGGTTGATTATTTAACATGTCTGCTTATATTAACTCTTTACTGTTTGTATAAAATCTTCAGTATTGTGATGTGACTCACTCCCCACTTCTATTTTTTCTTTACAACTAGGAGTATCTCGCGTACCACGGGGACAGCAATTAGCTCACACGGTGAAGTGTAACTGGTGTATATATTGTACAGTACTTGTAGTGTTTTGTTAGTTAAAACGTGTTAGTGTTGCTTCATGAATAAAATGGTTTAATTTGTCAATTTAAGGACTTATCATTGATCAGTTTTGTTTCGTTCAAGTTGTGATTAAAACTTGACAAACTATGGAGGACAAATCTATGTTGTCTATTTATTGTGATGTCTTTTTGCCTACCTCGTTCTATATATTTATATTTAATTATTGAGGCTGACTTGTGAATCTTATCGTTAGTGAACGTAAATCCATGCAGTTCGTTCATTCAATCTTGAAACCTGTTTATAACCCGTCACTAAATAGCATTTACTATGACTCAAACGCAAACGTTTTCCGAACAGGTATGTTCGCATAACAAAATCCGGTTTACAGTCTCACACTATTTCGGAGAATTGTGAATGTTCTTAAGGTTTGAGGGTAATCTATTAAGTGCGTTTGTTTCATTATAAGGCTTACAAACTTCCTCATAAGTTACGGCATAAACTTGACTATTAGCAGTTCGGGTGCACGATTTTGGTTTCATTGTATTTTGTGAGATAGACAATTCGTTTGTAGGTTTTTTGCTTTCTTGTCGCTTCATCCTACTTTATGCAGACCAGAAGACAAAATAGCATAATCGAGCAATTGTAACACCCACAAAACAAATGGCTGCCGCGCACGGGATATTAATTCAGACAAAGTGTATGTCGTCTGGTAAAAGCAAGGAACTAAAGGAGGGGACCGGTCTAGGTCTTATGTGACGTCGGGTTCATGAATACGGGCGCCAGTTTATGTTGGAAATTATGCGCCTAACACGTCGCTCGACCAATTATACTAATCCTCAGAGTGAACTGAGGTAGCGTGGTTTTCGGTGTCAAAGCTACACTGGTGTCTGGTGGTTGAACTCGTCTTTAGTGCATATAGTTCAACAACATAGATGGTCTGCGTTGAGTAATCTTAGGTCTACTCGAGTTACACAGAAATGATGTGGGCAATCAGCCCAGGTAGGAGTGATACCTCACTGTTAGTACATGATGTGGATAACCCATTCGTCGTATCCAAGTGCAATGGCTGCTTTGGTGGCCGTATAACGCAAATGACATTATCACGTAAAGTTATGTTGACGGCAAGGAAACTGAGTTAATTAGCAGTCATAGCAACAAGCGGGCTATTGTTTCTATCAATTTCTAGTGGTCTGACATGAAGATCGATAAAATTGCTTCAGGTGTCATATAATAAAAACCAAGTAAACCTTGAAATCAAAACTTATGGTTCAGGGAATTCGTCTGCTTCTTGAAGTACTTCATCTGAAGTGACGAACAATGACATTAGGAGGGTCCCAAAGATGCATTAAAAGAAATTAGAGCATAGAGAGTTTTGGCTAAAATACATAAAATACTGATGATCATATGAGGAATAAATAAACTCAAACATTGATATCTGCCTCTGGTAATTAGCCGAACTAGTTGCATATGCATATTCAGAAAAAGGTTTGTAGTGTGGCGTCGAATCACGGTTGGCTATGAACACCGCTACCAAGAAGGGCGTGACAAACAAATCGATAAAATCCCCCGGAAGCCATATATCAGAAGGCAGTTAATGGACCAAGTCGAGATATATTTGTTGGCGATCTCGTGGTATCGAAATACCGAGATCGTGCCAGGGTACAAGCTTGGTTACAGAGCGCAACCGAATTCGCGCGAGTTCACAATCACAGTGTGTGTAATGGATGTCTTTAGCACAGTTAAGCAAAGAGCACATTAAACATTCACTGGTACAATTGTTTATAATAATAATTGTTTTCAATAAACCAATCGTGTTCTCGTGATAAAAGTAAGTCACTACAGGTTTTTGAAAGCATGAAACGATGTTAAGACTATATGTTAATGGGATTGATAAAGCCTACTTTCAATAAGAAGAAAACGTAACAATTTTTCCATGATTTTGGAACACAACCTTACGAGAATCATTAGTCCATTTTCCCGAACCTCGAAACTTTCATACTGACAGTCACCTCACTAACAAAGACAATGTTTATGTCAAATAAATTTTAAAAACTTTAATCAAGTTAACAAGTTGGACATTAAAGTGACAGCATTATAAAATATATTCGAAACTAAAACTAATCACTGTCCGACAGCACGTTTGTTCAGAGTTAGTTTTTTAAGAGTGTGAAGTTTGCTTTAAGATCGAATTGAGTCAAAGCCTGATCCAATGGTTGTGAATAAAATGGTTGGAATAGTTATGGTGAATTAGTTTGAAACATACTGAATCTTCATCGATTAATGTTTTTGAGGCATATTTGGTGGAAATCAAATCGCTATGTTTCTAAACATGTAATGCTGTCTGGCATAGTGCAAGGTAGACAGAAAGCTATAGGTAACCAAAACAAAAACAGGCCTCAGCCATGAAGCAAATGATCTCACTTTCACATGTTATCCAGTTTTAAAATCATACATTCATTTCGATTGTTTATTTCATCCAGCACGTTGAGATGTATTACCTAAGCGTATTCATATATGTGTATATAGCTTTAGATAAGTAAGGTGAAGTTCGCGGCTTAGATTATTCCGTTTCACATGTCACAGATACTAGAAACATATAAACCTGCGCGAAAATGCTAGATATCACATTTTATTGAACATTGGAAAGGAATGGTTGTCTTCATCCTTCCATCAATTTCTTAAAGCGCGCGTGTGAGGTTGAAGGTCAGCCGAAAACAGGTGTAGATGGAGAATGCGGTTCCTGAATTCGCTCGTCGTTTGTACAAAGAGTGGCGTGATTTTACTGCTGAACCAGTCGAAGGTATCCAGTTGATGCTCAATGACCAAGATATGACGGAAGTCCAAGTCAGTTGTATTTCTGTCTTCTAATTTGTCAGGTCGTACTTGACGGTCCTGTTGGTACCCCTTATGATGGTGGCAAATTCCGTCTGAAGATGTTGATCCCTATGCAGTATCCGATGGAACCGCCGAAGGCTTACTTTTGCACGAAGATATTCCACCCAAACATAGCACCAAACACCGGAGAGGTTTGCGTAAACACACTGAAGAAGGATTGGAAATCCAATTTAGGACTACGACATATCCTTCTAGTGAGTTAATGAGTTGGAACTTACTCTTTAGACTATAAGGTGTTTGTTGATAGAACCCAATCCAGAGTCAGCTCTTAATGAGGAGGCTGGAAAATTGCTATTAGAAGATTACAGTGAGTTTGTGGCAGAAGCTCGGCTCCTCACAGAAGTACATGCTTACTGGCACGTTCGGGAACAAGCGAAAGTCAGTAGTCAGAAGATGCATCAAGACGACCATGCAAGTGTCGATATGTAAGTTGACTCAGCACGTGTATAAACTTGATGTTAATACGTAATCTAAGCTTACAATTCAATATTTACAAGGCCGCAGAAAATCTGCAGTCAGAAGACATAATCAGTATTTTTTAGTATCGCTTATTGTATTCTCCCGAGTTGTTTAAGGTTTACCACCTAATTTTATCTCTCCTAAGTTTTAGTTGTGTTCCTCTCGATTTTCGTGACAGTTTTGTGCAAGCCATGTTACAAACTCCGTTTATCTCCTTTCAGTATTATATTTTATAACTAAAGGCTGTCATATCGAACGAAAACGAAGGGTATTGTCTGTATGGGATTCCGATGGTAGATGCGTTAGATATTTATTTGAACCTCTTCTGAAACTTTATTCCTTGTTGCAGATTTAGGCGTAGGGTTGATGACAGTTAGGTACCACTGACACTTATCAGGTCAAAGACCAGAAAAGTCAGACAAGACTACTTTCATTATTTTGGTCGCGATATGTATTAGTAATCATATAAATGAAATTCCATGGGCTGCGCAGTATAGCGTTTCGTGTTTAGGTTTTCTTTGAGCTTTCACAAATGCTTTCTTCCATGTAGTCTGGTCATGGTACATGTGTCCCGATTGTATCCTTTATCCTATTTAAATTATTTGTTAGTTCTAGTTATGGTTATGTAAGTTACTTTTCAGGGTTATTTTTTCAGTCGTTGATACTATTGTTGGAAGTTTGCGAACTAATTCCAACTCAGACTTTTTGCACAGTAAATAAATGTAACTGATGTAAAACGTGTTAATATAAATAATATTGAGTAACGTAATCAGAGTATTAGCTGTGGGTTGTCTTTTCCTAAATTTCTCATAAATTGATTTTTATCCAATTAAAATACATTAGCTCATAAAGACCTTCAGTAGTAACGGTTTTTTAACGTTTGTAACCATGATCTAGTAACTTTTCACAGAACAACATAAAATTACGTGATAAACTCCGCATTGTTCTCAAAGTCTCGGTATTTCGCTGTTATCTCATTTCAGGTCAGGCAATTCGACTGATGCGCGTACACATTCTAAAGTGACACAACGCAACAACTCATCATTTCGTAAAGCGCTCAAACGGTTGTAGTACCTAAGAGCGCAATGCTCCCTGAATGAAGACTTGTAATGAATAATCTATACCTTGTGCATTTATGTAAATTATATGATAATTGTACTTTAGCTTACTTTTAATTCCTACCACTGAATATTTTGGTCGATAACACAAAAACAGTAGCTGAATTTATTACCACGTGAATCAACCTATTAGTGAAAATATGATCTAATTACATCAAGCTACATTTTCCGAACCCTAATCAAAGATCTAAATTATTAGACGTGCATAACACCTATGAAATGCGGGATGATTAGTACGAGCAAACTCGTGTTTTAGAAACAGTTAACTTATTTCCTCCCAGTTGTAGAGAAAGAGGTCTGTTAACCCAGATGACCTACAACATTCATTGTAGTGAGGATGTTAAGATGTGTATCGGGCTGTGTGATGTTTAAAATCCAGAACTGTTCTGTTTTACGACTGAAATTAAACAGCTGAAGATAAAGAACATATAGTTATATGCATTTGACTATCAGTGTTGTTGACGGGACCATGAAGTACACAATGCTAACGAGAAACGTTGGGAATTACGGTGTTAATCTGCACTGACTAAGGTGATCAGGAGATATTTTGCATTTTGAGATGTATATAACAATTTATATGGAGCAGATCTACAACGGTAGAAACCTGAAAATAGTCAAACTGACAAGTTGGACAACTACGTGTGATACCGACCTGCATAGAGTATTGCGTAATCTGTGGTCATCGTTACGAAACTCAGTAGTTTGACAACCTAATATTGCATCGATTTACATGATGTGAGCGTAGACTATTATCGTAAATCCTAATCATCTTATGGTTGTGTTTAATTACCCTGTTAACATTTTTCTCTATCTTATCAAGCTTTGTAACCTGAATCAGTGCATTATACTGCTATAGGTTTTAAAAAGATCTTTTTTTTGTCTATAAAAATAAGCTATGAAGTTCTAAATAACTTGGAAACTAATTAATTGGTCAATAAAGAGATAACGAAGTAATGCTTAGGTACGATGAGTTGGATGTCAACGTATGTCAGTGGAAACGGAAAAACCAGTAGCCATTTGAAATTTTATTTTATTACAGTCCATGATTTTTTTCAGCCGAACACCCTAATAATCAGTAAAATCCATGCAGAAACAACAATATGATTATGCCATCCTGATATTCTTGGAAGAGCAGGTAGTTGATAGTTTAAAATTGATCTAGTTCTTTCAAAGTGAATTCTTTTCTAAACAGTATTTAGATTATTTAGTGTTTGTAAATATAATTCATTCGCCAAATATAAGGTTAAACTATTCGGATTCGGGCCACACCCGTTAGGTCAAACCGAAATAGGTGATATGATGCGCGAATTTACAACTTACACCTAACTAATAGTTTAATATTTCTGAAATACACAAGCACTGTGTTCTATCGGTAACTAGTACAATTGGCGTAAGAGAAAAACGGAAATTACTTTGAACAAGGTCTGATGCAAAGCCCAGGAATCAGGCCAAACTTTCAACTAATTGAAGAATAGGTGACCTAACCAAACTATTTTTTTCCAAATCGCCTGACATTACATCATGTTTACCTTGTGTTCATTTGCTGTATATGAACATGTTTCACTACATCTGCTTAGTGGTCTTGTTTCTGATTTCTAACTATTCATGGAATTAAGTCAATAATACAGTCTTGTGAGTGGCCATCACTTAACCACATCATATCGTTCTGTTCACCTATCGTTTAACATTTTACCTATTGATTTCAATCTGAAATCCTGCCTCACCAACTATAACAAGAACACTATAAAAATTGTTAAAATGACTAGTAAAACAAATGAATCAATTTAAACAAAACGAAAACTATGGACAGAAGATATTCGTTGAAATCATTCAAACCCTAACAATGTAGTAGAAAACAACAGAAATTTACAGTGCTAAGTGTTATTTTGTATCACATTTTTGCAATGATTTTAGCAAGTATAAAGTGATGTTTATTGCAAACAAAAGTGCTTACTAGAAAGCAAATAAATTTAAGGAAAGTTACAATATATAGAATTGCAAAATTACTACTCGGTGCGTGTTTTTTTTTAAAAAAGGCAAAAGATTACACACTATACATGTGTTGTGACAATATGGACTTGAAAAACATTATAAGAGATCAAAAATATTTGATGATAACTCTAAAGCTGATAATGATAATTGGATCGGAGACAAACAAGTAGATTTTGAGCAATGCGTTGTGTTTGTATTTAAAAAATGGTTGGACTTAACCTATTATTCATATAAAATATTAGAAACAGTATTTATATCCATGTATGGACTTATGAAATAACTGGCGGTGGGGTTACTGGTCCGAATATTTCCTCTACATGTGTAAGCAAATATTCTATACATGGGACCTGTACAGACTTAAGTGCTCTATATGCGACAGACTCTACTTCTGGCCAAATTAAACTAGGTCCGAAAACAATAGCCAAATTGTAAGAATGCATTTGGTTGATACTGGACAATTGCATTACTCTAACAAATGAAAAAGTACAATACAAAGAAATGAAGTTTATTGAAAACAGATTTTAAGAAAGTTATGTGCAAGCTTATTTAAACAACCCTCAACTTTTAATGTAAATAAAGGATTCTATGTTTATACGCGTTATGACCAAGAACTAAATAAATCAATGTTACCTTATTTCCTCTGTCAGTATATCGATAAGACACTATTCTAGTATGGGTAGTTAAAGAGCTTCGATTAAAATACAATGGAATAATCTCCAAGTCACCAATAATGTACTCAAACTTATCGATTTTCTCTTTGACTTCACTCATCTCTAAGAACTCTTCAACTCTCACTTCATATGGATGAGATATAACTGGTCAGTCTGAAATAGTGTTCTTGATCTCCAAATACCATGTAACAACTTTTGAAGTTGATACTTTAACTTTCACCAGCTGGAATCTTTAAAATCCTTTTTAGAATGTGTATTGTTTTGAAAAATGCATAAAACACTTATTCCTGTTGACTTAATTCACCTGAAGTTATATGTTTAGAATTCAATTTGTGGATGTTTGAATCATCTGGAAATCTTGATATCCTTGATTTTAAGGAAATAACGTGACGACGACAAAGAAACATTTGGAGTGAATTTCATTCGGTAGTGGCACAAGCAATTTTTGACTGAGTGGTTTCATGAGGATGATTTAAAACCTACATAGAGTTCTATGTCCAAGCAATGTACAAGAAGTTATTAATTGTAAATCGAACCTCTAGATGAATACTGTTATTTCATATGGTTTGAAATTATTCGCGGATGCGGTAGTGCATTCGTTTTTCCTTGCTTTAAGAACGCAACACCACACAACAGCAATACATAACATTACAAGTGGTCGGTCACATGCGTATGGGATATCAATGGCGGCTTGCATAGCTGGATGCTAACAACTATAACCGATGATGCGTGTCATGGGTCAGTATGCTATTGTTGCACTAGTCCTCTTAAGTTTGCAGATAGGCTCTTGCTGATATAGTGGCAACTACAAAAAGACCTTGGTCTATGTCGATTGTTTACAGTTCTATTTTGAGAGACTATTCCGAATTAAGAACGTTTGGAAGATGTCTCCTAATACGGTAGGGATCTGGGCGACTAGTCCGCACAACATTTGAACAATGGAAATATCATGTGATTGAGGAGTGAGAGAGAAAAGACAAGAATTTGGGAAAAGCTTGAAGAAAGTAGATAAGCTATGTTGGTATATATATAATTTATAATCCTAAATCACAATCGATTTTCACGTTTGTACTATATCGAGAATTCCTTTGAAAAAACGTAATTCTTTCGTAGTAAAACTTAACTTATTTCACCATCTTACCTGTACAAATGATGAAAAAATATTCGAGATGTGTTGATATGTGGGACAGGCATAGAATTGATCAATTCTCGCATTCTAATCACTTTTAAATCTGGCGCTATATCATTATCACCTATATATTGAATAAAAGGAAATCCAATTTAAGAACGATCCATAATTATAGATTATACAAAATGTTGTATTATACAGTGATACAAACTAATAACAAAGTAAACAGTATATATATCCATAAAAGCGATTGTGAATTGGAGGTTTCCAGACGGCCAACAGTAAATCCTATTTTATGAACAACTACGAGTCTTCTAAGACGAACAAGAACGAATATGAATTTCGACATACTGAACGTCGAAAACAATAGGTCATCTTTAATAACCGCAAGCTAACATGAGATAGAGAAAATGAGACTTTCAGGATAGCTTTGTATTCCGAACAGAAGTTGACAATTGACAAGGAACAACTATGCCTAGAAAGTAATATACAATGACCTCGGGGAACATAACGTAGCTAGCAAACTAAGAGCGATAACAATCAGTTAACACCAAATTTCATAGCGGGAATATGAATTAGAAAAATGTCACCGAAATTATCCATTAAGGAAGGGATTAGCATGTAATTACAGAAAGCTAAGTAAATTCACCACTCATTAGCAATTAAATAACCTATTCATAGTCGTTTCAGTATCTAGATAAAATAATATGATCAGTAGCAACGTTCCTCTAATTGCTTTCAAAAATTGTCACAAAGTTAACATACTGAACACAGTGATATTGGTTAGATGTAGATATGTAGCATTACCGTGGAGAGGAGATTCGAAAAAGTGTAATAATATTGAAGATGTAGTGTGTTGTAAATAAACATAATATTTGAAAGAAGATAATGGATTTACAGAGGTTACAGAGCTAAAACAATTAACTGATTATGCTATGAAGACACAAATTAGCAGTAATTAAGAATAACATGAGTTGAGTTGAGACTAGTCAGTTGAAAATAAAGTCATGAATTTGAAATTAAAGATGCAGTAAAAATAAGGGAGAGTTGTGAGAATGATGTATTATATTGATGATAACATCACGATGACAAGGAAAGACACGCCACTGTTTCCCTTTGAATACACAAACCTAACTTGAGACATTTGTGACTATGGCTTCGGCAAACCTAAGAAGAACAAAGTTTAACTGTCACATGACATTTCTTCTGGAAACCTAATGCACTAGAACTTGTGTCTATTTAAGATGAGAATCACGTCCAAACTGGTTATTCCGAAAAGGATTTGAGCGTAGTTTTTATTCCAGAAACATTCTACTGGAAATTATTGTTAGTATTTCTATTGCAGAACTATTAAACGTTTGGGGTATTGTATTATTATCTCATATTTGTACATTTTCTCTCGACACACAAACTATTTTTTTACGTCTTACTGTTTCAGATTTTCCATTAGTTATTAATTTTTTTACTGCTCAATTTTGTACCACTTATGGTTGAGTTGTGTATACATTGTAATCTCTTATTATTGTACTACCCGAGCAGGTATTCGAGGTAAAGTATTCTATGAGTTTTGAGTCATAAATGAATAGAGTAAAAATGAGAATTAATCTGTTTGTTGTCCTTATCTTCTGATTGTAAACTGAATTGCAAAGAATTCAAGGACCAATCAGCATTAAGGCTTAAGAAGTTGTTCATTGTTATGAAAAAAAGGTCATCAGTTCCATAGGCCATATACGTAAAGAAGTCAATATTCAAACTAGATAATAGTCCTCCAATCACACAGACGCTAATACAAATCAAGGAACTGATCTTTTTTTTAAAAATACAACAAAATTACACAAACGCAGTACAATAAAACCATTAAAACAAAGTAAATCATTTCAAACTATACAACACAAATTTCAAGTTATTTCAATAACGATGAAAAAGGATGATGAGAAAAAAAATTTTCTCTGTTACAAAAAATTAGCAAACATTATTTACTGTATTATTAATATTTATTAAATAATTTATTTACCCAATAGTTGATCAACTTCTGGATATATTTTGAATGTTATAAGTGGTTCTTTAAGCTCACGAAAAAATAATTTCAATGCCCCTGTTAATACTTCTAAACTCCATTTTTCAGAATTTAAACTGTAGTTATCTATGATAATAAAAATAATAAATAGAATCAAGAAACAAATCAAGTATTTCAATTGATCATTAAAATAGTATTAATGATATATGAAATATAAAGAGGATAGTTAAATTAGAAATGATATTTAAAATTAATCTTATTAACTGGAGGATTATTGAAAAAGTATACACTAATGTACAATTATTTTATAGAGAGAGCAGCAGGCCCTGACAGGTTTACTCCTGAGATTTTTAAGGATGGTGGTCCAGTATTAGCAATGAGATTAACTGAGGTCTTAGGTAGAATTTGGGAACTGGACGTAATCCCATCTGACTGGTCTCAATCACTGATTGTGCCAGTCTATAAGAAAGGACAAAAGTCCTCTTGTGACAATCACAGAGGAATCAGTTTGACTAATATAGTGTCTAAAATATTAGCTTCAATAATACTTCGACGCCTAATCAAAGCTCGTGAAGAGCAGATTAGAGAAAACCAGGACGGTTTTCGACCTGGACGTGGTTGTATAGATCAGATATTCACACTACGTCAGGTTCTAGAACACAGACACACATTCAGACGCCCCACAATGGTAGTATTTCTCGACCTTAAGGAGGCATTCGACTCTGTTGATCGTGAGGTTCTATGGCAGTGTTTGTCACTGAAAGGAGTACCAAAGAAGTACATTAACCTTATAAAGGCTCTCTACTCGAATACAACTGGTAGAGTAAGAGCTTATGGCGAACTGTTATCATAATTGATTACCTCAAGTGGTGTTCGTCAGGGCTGCCCACTCTCTCCATTCTTGTTTAACTTTGTGGTCGACGTACTTTTAGAGATAACACTTTCCTCGTCTAGATTTCCAGGGGTTGAACTTCTACCGGGAGGTTCACTTGTTGACTTGGAATATGCTGATGACATAGTTTTATTTGGTGAAGACGCTGACAAAATGCAGAGTCTTCTGACCACTCTAAGCAACAATGCAAGCATGTCCGGGATGCGATTCTCCCCCTCGAAATGCAAAATGTTGCTTCAGGATTGGGTTACATCGACACCCGAACTAGTGATAGGGAGTGAAGTGTGTCGACCGCTTCACTTATCTTGGAAGTCTCATCAGCCCTTGTGGTTTAGTGTGTGACGAAATCTCAGCACGGATTTAGAAGGCTCGACTAGCTTTTGCCAACTTGAGTCATTTATGGCGTAGGCGAGATATCCGTCTATCAACCAAAGGACGAGTTTACTGCGCAGCAGTTCGTTCCGTCCTACTTTATGGCAGTGAAACATGGCCGGTAAGAGTAGAGGATATCCGTAGGCTACTAGTATTTGATCATAGGTGTCTTCGAAACATTGCTCGTATATCATGGGACCATCGAGTAAGTAACACAGTTGTTAGGAAACGAGTACTAGGTAAGGATGGCAAATCAATTGATGAAGTAGTGAAACTTCATCAGTTGAGATGGCTGGGACACGTGTTACATATGCCCGACGACCGACTGCCTCGACGTGCTATGTTTAGTGGTATAGAAGTAGGTTGGAAGAAATCTAGGGGCGGCCAAACCAAAACATGGCACAAGTACATGAAGTCACTGACAAGTGAACTGAGTCATGTTGGTAGGTGTAGACTACCTGGTTGGGGACCGCAAGATGATAGCAACCGATGGTTAGAGACTCTGAATGACATGGCTCAAAATCGTTTGCAATGGCCCAGGTGCATCCACTCTCTGTGTTCTCCCAGATTCTAATCTTCTGAATTCTTCATGTCCCTTTTTTCCTCTTTCCAAATTTATTTCACTGGATTATACTCTTTAAATAACATCTCCAAACCCTAATCTTCCCAATGGCTGCTTATACTCTTATTACCTCTACCACTACGGGATTTGAATCGACAACTGCATCTCTGTGCTAATGTGGTGTGGCAACTCGAACTGATGTACGTACGTACGAAGTTCTACGTTGTTACTGACTGACTGACTGTATCGCCTAATTATAGTAGTATACAGTAAAAATAGAAACTATTTTTATACTCCCGTTTATATCAGATGCCAAGAATAACCATTAAGCTAATGTGTTCACAAAGCCCAACATTCTATATTTTCATACTTTTGTTTAAATCTAAGGGGACATAACACGATTTTTATCTAGGCATTATTGATTAGTGAAATTGTCTTTATTTCCAATTCCGTTGACTTCCTAGGTCATGGCTTTTCATTAAACCTTAAAAAAATGTGTTAATTATACATAAGAATATTAGATAATATAATAACATGTACATTACATATATGCATAAAAATTTAAAAGTAAACAATCATAAAGTGTAGTTTATTAAATAATAGAACAAAACATGATATTCATCGTCAATACACGAGTATGTAGAATGAACTTAAAGTAGATAGTATAGATGGAAACATTGGATAATTTGATTGATAAATTTTACCTACAGCTTGTGTAACTTAGCTAGTATAAACATGTAACTACACTAGGATAAACAGACCACCTGCTAACCATTGTATAGCATAATAAATTACTTATTAAAAACCTCTAGAGAAGAGAGAAACTTTGGTTCAAATAGTATTCAAAGGTTTAAAAACTATTTCCAGCCTGAGGCTTAAAACCCCACCTTCACCCATAGACTAAAAAAACTTGTTTAATTTGTTCTGTCACTTTGTTTTCCCAACATCATGATTAGTATCTCATTTACTAACTACTCGGTTTAGAGCCACACTCTAAGTGTAGGGGTTAGTAATTTTACTCGGTTGCCTGGACTAAAGAAGGCGCGGCAGTGTTCTAACCTCAGACTTATTGGCTTAAAGTCGAGCACATTGACGACTGAACCACTACTCCATTTCATTCTCAAAAAAATTTACCTTTAAATTAGAAACAATAAAGCCAAGTGTCCGAATAATAACTAACAATAACTTTATTGACTAGTGACATATACTTGTATAGCATAATTTGACACACAATTTAAGTACCATGTTATTTAGAAAATATTTAATATTTCAAGAAATTTTGTATGGTGTTGTCGAAGTAAAGTTGTTGTAAGTCCTACTGCATGATGTAAACTCTGGTTCAGTGTTCAAACATATGATGGAAAAGTTATCTTCACTAGGTTTAAAAGTTTTATAAAGACTGAAGACTGAATTGCTTTGAAGGCTAAAATAATCTACACAAAGTGAGCTTTATAGACCAATGAAAAATTGTTGTAATAACTGCGATTCTCTGTCAATTACAATACTTCTGATTCAAATTCATAAACAAAAGATAAGTAAAACTAAATGGATTTTGAACAAAAAATTGTTTGACGTTTGATGCAGCTTTAATGTTTAATCGCATGCCGCGAAGTCCGAAGGCTTTAGATTCTATTCTTATGCAGATTATGAATACACACTGCTAAAGAGTATGATAATAGAATAAGACAATTGTCCAGTGATCCCTGATTTTCAATATGTTAAATGCTGATAAAAAGAGGGTGTATTAAGGTTTACGGATTAAGGAACGATTGAGTTATTCTAATACGAGCATTTTTACTGTAGACTCGATAGCAGCAACTGCACACAACTCTTCAGTAACCAGCCGTTAATACAGACTGAAGATGAAATGTAGGGAAAACTCGATATTTAAGCAGAACCTAAAATGGTACGACTCAGTATACATGGTAACCATAATAAACAAAGAATCAGTATACTTAAAGTAATGGCAACCAATCAGGTGGTGTGAAAGCAAAGATGAATGATGGATAGCAGTGAAATCAAGGATGCGAGTTTCGTCCTATTCGGGACTCGTCAGCTGGGTTTACTAGGCATAGACGGGGAGATTCAAACAAACGATACGAAATGAAAGTTTATTGAGAAGATTCGAGTCAGGAAAATGTCATCGAGGTTATCCATTAAAAAAATAACTTGTAATAACGAAAAACTAAGTGTTTGATCCATTCTAAGCAGTGATACTTAAACTGAGGTCAATGCCTGACGAGTACCATCTACAAATTAAGTTAAAGCTTAAATATACGAAATTAGGCATTTAAATAATACAAGATTACAGGTACACCTTGCTGACGAGTGCCAACTAGCACAAGATTTCGGTCCAGAGTTTCTTGTTAACAACCCCCAACCACCATCTTATCGAATAAAAACATAAAGATGATCTTATACGTTATATTTTGAATTATCACAACTTATTAAGTCAAAACTGACGAATGAGCCATAGTCCTGCTATTTTTATTGAGTAATTTGTGGTTTTCATTACTGAATATGCAATCAGTCGATAGTAGTGTGGTTTATGTGAACACCGATCAGAAGTGGAATGATTGGCAACAGGTGATTAAGAAGGTCGAATTAAAGAGAATAGGAATGTAAACAGAGAGTAATTGTAATAACAACAAGGATGAAGTAACGATGAAGTTTGTAAGAGACAACTGATGGATGATGTGCAAATCAAGTATTTAATGTATGGTTTTCATATTTTACGGAGATATTCTGTAATTTGTATTGAACAATAAATTAGTTGTCTCCATCAAGTGAACGTTCACTTTAGTAGTAATAGTATTATAATTAGTAGTACTGCCTACACAAAGTCATCTGATTAAAATTTGAAGAACAGTCTCATGGGCAAAGGATAAATTTGCCAATCTTACTAATTATCAATCACTTAAGCTAACTCAGTAATACTATTACACAATATGACTAATACAAACGAAATATACATAAATTGACTTCCTATGAATCTAACACAAAATGTGTGTGTGAACAACCATAATAAATGCTGACTGTCAATTTCATTATGTTTAAGTTAAAACACAGTTTTGATTGATCAACTCATTGTATGTATTAAAACAACAGAACAAAAGGAACAGTCTTCTCTTAACAGAATGCTTATTACTATATAATGTAACATTTGCAATGGAAGACGTCTGCATAATTTTGTCTAACGACAGATTTTGAGGGTACGACCCGTAAATATTAACAACTTATTGATTTAATATACTGTACATTAGCTGAAGTCATTGAACATGCATGAATGACGATACAAGTAAAAAGTAGTAACAATAATAATAATACATTATCACTACTTTTTGTCTTGATATGATGATGACCGTTGCCACTTTAACCAAATGATGTAATTGAAATGAGAATATACAACAAAAGTGCATTTTAACCGTAATTCTTTCTATGTAACAACACCAAAATACAATCAAAATAATCAAAAACGAAATGAAAAAGTATATACATTTGTATTCATCACTGATGAAAAGTTTGGAATTAGTAACAAATTTTAGGGATTATTGTTAGGTTTAAGTAATTCCACAAGTCATTCCCGACTGGTTTAAATTACCACTTAAACTATTGGCCATATAAATTGGTAAAGAGAATGTAATCAGTACTGAAAAAAGATATGATAGTGATCATTATAAAGTGGTCGATTAATGTGGACATATCTATCAAAACCGAATAACTTAGTAGTAATGTCCTCGATGAGATCTGTATTGAAATCGCCTTCGAGTAAATATAAGTGCCTTTAAGCTTTCCGGACACAACTGTCAATCAGCATAAAGCCTAGTCTTTTTTAAAGTATTCCAAAGGGTCTAAAATCAAATATCATTAATAGAAAGTGGGACCTGTCGAGTGAAGTAGTGTCCTAGGATACTAAACAATAAGAGTAGCTGGGTCGTAATAAGAGAAATTTTAACAGAACCTATGTAAGTGGCATGAAAGTGACATCATTTAAGAGTCAAAATACCGCAAGCTTACTAGATTTTAACTGAAGGCTGATAACCAACGGTTAACTAATTACCAATGCTTTTGTTCCCTAAATTATTAAAACAACGGAAACAGACTATTAACAAATGTTACACAATTCAGATGTCTGTAGTAAAATAGTAGTGTAATAAACTACATACTTGGAATTTCTAAACAAAAGAACATGGCAACAGGACTTTTCATATAAAAAGTCGATTGACTTATATAATGTTTACCAATTATGTAACTGTAACTATTTACTATCAAAAATGAGAGTCACAATTGACCATGCATACTATAAACAAAAAAAAAGAATATTAAACACTAAATATCAGTGTATGATATTTCTAAAGCAAAAAAATGCCACCCACATATGTAATATTGATAATATAGTAGTAATATGTTTATTAATTCATACCTAATTCTATGCCTAAATGAACAATAACAATTCAATACATAATTGACAGTTATTCTGGTTGATTCTTTTTAGGTTTTGTCTAAATCAATCCAAATTGAACTTTAGTTATCAGGTGATCATTCGATGTTATGCTGAAATTAATTCTATCATTGAAATCACATGAAAAATAATGAGATTCAGAACGTTAGATTATATGTAAACCCACAGATATTCACACAATAATCAAATCAAAAATAGTATACTAACCAATGATCAAGTATGTATTTATACGATCGATCTTAAGCTTTAACGTATAAGACAGAGAAAAAGAGCGTTCATTAAACTATATAAGTCCTTAAATTGAGGTAAGTAGGCAGTGGCGAAACTATAATTTATGGACGAATCAATCAGATTTAGGATAACAGGTCTTGGATTTTGGCGCGAAATTCATTCATATATTTGTCTAAATAACGTTTTGGCAATTTAGCTGATGTCAGTTCGTGATGAAAATCATAAATCTAATTCCTAACTCTCACCGTCAAGTGTAAATTATAAACCTTATTCTTCAAACTGCTTTATAACCCTCGTTTAGCCCTAGTAAGTAGGTGGACATTCTCAAGGTCACTTTAGCGTCGTTCAAAGGTCGTCCGTAAAGTAGTCACACCATGACACCTTTTTGTAGCAGAAAAACAAATTATTGATTTTATAGACAATTCGAATATTAAAAAACAATTTCAAGCAGTCATGTTAAGAGGTATTAATTTACAGTAAATAAACAGTATACTTCAGTTCACTTACATTGATTAACGGCACAGCGAAGTTTTTGGATTGTAGCACCATTTCCGCTTGATCGATAAATCCCAACATGATCAAGTCCTGAAATTTAATAGGAAAAGTAAAATAAAAATTGTTAAATTTGAATATTCATGGATTAACATTTAAAAAACAATTACGTTCAGTATGAAATAGATAGAGTGTGGTTAGCACTTAAGTCTAGGACTCGTGTTTCGTTCTATTTGGGATTCATCAGCTGGATGTACCTGCATCTCAAAGTTGATTTACATTCCGGAACTCAAACCCATACGCCTCAAATGCCATCGCGTTATCCAATGATCTACTGAGTCCCGATAGCCATCCAGTGGTGTTGATGCTCTTAATTAAAATTTGATCAGTCTTGGTCGGGATATGAGGTTCAGTTATGGACTTGGAGCACATAAATAATGAAGTCCTATTCAGTGTATACGAAGACGTAAAGTGAAATCTCTTGAATGATCTGAGTCTCGATAGACTTGGTAGTTTGGTGTCTGAACAAATCTCGCCATGAACTTAAAAATGTCCTTTGGCTTCTCCCAATCAGATTCATTTGTGATGTACGTGAGATGTATATCTGCCAGCCAACAAAACTGTATAGAAAGAAGCAATCTGCTTTGTCCTACTCGATGACTATGGATCATAGTTTATGAAAATAAAAGACATCTGTAGTCTAGTGGGTTTTGGTCATAAGCGTATTTCAAAGTTTATTCGTGTATTGTGGAACAACTAGGTGAGTTTGGACGTAGAATACTAAGCAAGGATGAGAAATAGGTTGATGAGCTTGTGATTCTTAATTATCTGAGGTTGTTGGAACATGCAGTATGCACGACTAACCGCCGCCTACCTTGATGATCGAAGTGAGATACTGTAGGAGTGAGTTGACAGCTAAGTAGGGAAGACCAAACTTAACCGTAGCATCAGTCGATGTAGCCAATAACCGTTGGTCCTGAGTTTGATTCCCATGTGCGAGGTCGCAGATGTGCACTGGTAAGGAGCCCCACACTAGAATACAACGGCGGTCCAGTGTTTTCAAGTCCCCAATGGTGGTCCTGCTCAGATCAGTTAGTGATTATGAAAATGAGAATCGTACTGCTTGAAACACGCTCCCACAACGCAAACAGGGAAAAAGCAGTTTTATCAAATGTATTGTGGTATCCCATAACAAAAAAGCCACTGAGTTCTGCTCATTTGACTTGGTGAGACCAATGTGATCGAGTCATGGTTACTCATAAGTACAGATTATTGCAATGAAAAGCTTATAGTTAGTGGATAACAGAATCCCGAACGAGTTCTCAATGAAAATGAACCGTTTTATATTTTACACCTATACGATTTAAATTCATTTGAAATGTGATTGAATGCTGGATTTAGATTTTGTACGTTATTTAACAGCCTATGAATTTAGGGGTTGATTAGCATGATTACTTATTTCCTGGTATTAAACTTCTTGCCACGAATAACTAGCAAATCTAACGATGCTGTCTTGTCATGGACGTTGATAAGATGTTCAAGTAGTTTAGTGCAGAAAACAGTTTACTCTCCGATATTCCATGGATTTCTAACAGTGGTGGTATAGTTTGAAAAGTACTAAGCCAACTAACACAACCAAGTCTATTCACAAAGATGTCGTGCGAAACTGGTTTAAGATAGGTTTTAAGATCGACAAGATCTTGAATACGAATCCTGTTTATTGCATAATTTCCTTCAGAAGGAATATTCTCTTGTGGTATGGATAACCCAAATGCTCATGTATGATAATTTATACTATTACGGACAGCATTAGAGAAAAGCATTAATCACATCATAAAAGATCAAATCAGTGTTATAATGAGATCTCTGTAAATTTGTTTGGATTTCAATCTGTAAGTGGTCCAATACTCAAACCAGGGAATAAAACTATAAAAAATAATGTTATACATAACGAAAAAAGAATACCTCGAGCTTCAATAGCACGAATTGCACGAACAATAAAATTAGGTACATCAGAATCTTCATTCTCACATATTTGCATGATTGTAGATGCAAATACAGATTCATCTATTTACAGAGAAAATTAAATCAAAATATTTAGAAGAATATTATTTATTAATGTTGATGAAATTTTTATTCAAAATAAAAAACAGAGAAAAAACATGCATATCCGTTTAGACATCTGTTAGACAAATAAACCTATCATATTATACCTTATTTACTGTTACAAATAAACAGATAAGCTGATTACATAATATTCAAATTGTTACTAGGAGAAAAAGAGTGGAATAAACAGGAATGATCTGTGCAAAATGATACATCCAGTTAATTGTGGAACTAATAATCCCCTCGGACTTAAACGATGATTTTTTTGTTTTAGTGTATCGTCGACCAGATAGTAATGAATATTGTTTTTCAAAAAAGTATCAACGTAATATATTTGATATAAAACATTTTAAAGTTTTCTTCATACACAATTATAGCCTTAACAAACACTATACTAAGTTTGTGAAATAACGATTAAAGTACATAAAACCACAGAGAAAAAACCCAACGAGAGTTGTGTCATTAAACAGATGAAATTTTACTATTAATATATTTTAGTGGCTTAGTTGTTATGAAAACAGTGAATCAAAGTAGCGTACAAATTTATTAGTAATTTTAAAAAGACCCATTATATCAACGTTGTATTTAGTGTCCAGTAGATGGGTATACGATTAGGTTATTGATTATTTTTGTAGATCAACGGGCAGGCGTTTCATTGATCGTTTCTTCTATCTTTCTAATGCACTTGATTTTGTACAGGTTTGTAAGTTGATGGATGTTTTATTAAGAGACAAAAAAACAAATAATTATATACTATCGTTTATGTGATTAATCAAGATATCACCAAGAAAGTTAGGTAATTTATATAAATTTTTATTAATATAATAAACCCTTGAAACCGTGTCGGGTGTAAAGCAGTCACCCATCGAAGACAATGGAGGGTGGTCGTGAAATGTCGTGGATTGGTTGAAGTTATACATTAACACCGTCAGATGCCGGCTCTATGGTCTAGTGGTTAAGCGCGTACGCGCGAGACGGGTAGGTCCTGAGTTCGAATCCCGCGAGCCAGAGTCGTGGATGCGCGCTGCTGAGGAGTCCCACAATGGGATGAAGCGGCCATCCAGTGCTTCCAGGTTTTTCGTGATGGTCTAGCTTCAATTGACTCATGATCTCAACCATTGAAATTACCATAATTTCCACAAAAACCCTTCTGATATAAATATAATTATCAACAAATTTTTAGTATATTGTAGTTTGTGAAGTTTAGATAAATGTTCAAAGTGTAACCGAGATCAATATAATGAGGAGAACAGAATACAAAATGTTGTGTATTTATACGGCGGGAAGTAATAATTAAGAGGTTATGTAAGGGTAATGAAATTAACAAGTGATTGGGTAGTCGTTCAACATGATAAAATGAACAAATATGTGAACATCAATCAGATTATGTAAGAGATGAATATCAGATGAAAGAATAATAAAATAATAAAAAGGTTGGGAACAGGGTTGGAAAAAATTAGAATTGACAAACGTTTTTAAACAAATGTCCAATCATTATGGCAGGGAAGTGTTAATCAAACTTTGGCTCTGTATATATAAGTTAGGTCGGAAACGTTTGATAGCGATGGCCTCTGCAAAACGGAGTAAGACCGGTGTTTGTGTCTGTTGATTATTTTGAATGCATCACTTACATTCGCTCCATGTTTACTATCCAAAATATGTCTGGCACTTGTAAAGACTTTACTCACTTTCAAACATAAGTTACTAGGAATGCGTTCAGAAAACGTTGTAAAGTCCTGTTATGACGGGTGTGACTGCAGGTTTTGATAAGCAGCGTTTATTGATCGATTCGGTGACAGTGACACGTAAACACGAACGGACGGCCTAGATTCTCGATTGGTCCCACTTCCCTGTCTAGCCCAGCCTGTTGAGTCCAGAACACAAGTCACAACCTCTGAGATATGAATCATTATATCTCAAACATACTTTGTTTATATACTAATCAAGCATACCACATCGTACCATAAAAACAGAAAACAACATTTTGTACAATACTCAACAAGTGAACATATATCGACCAATAGGGAATGTCCATTTAAAGTCCAAGGACACCATTGGACTTAACATGATAATTATTGGTCTATTCCTCCGCATCCACAACAAGTCCCTTCTCTCTGTCCTTACTACGTAATTGCTGCCGCAGGTACATGTAGATTCATAAATGCAATTAAATATGATGTCGAAAGCGTATTGATCTACATTTGAATGATACAGAGAACACTTGATGTTGAGTTGTGAAACCAATTGAGCAGCAGGAAACCTTTTCAGCACCGCCTTGACTCTCCTATAGAATCTTCCTGAAATCTTATCTCCCTTGAACAGAAGGCGGATGAAGACAAGTCTCTTCTTAACAGTTGATTGTCTATCATCTTTGAGATATTTATTCCCAAAGTTAGTAATAAATTCCCTCGGGTATCTATTTTTTATACAATACTTTTCCTGAATAACCAATTCCTCATTTATTTAGCCATTTGAGCATAACATCATAGATCTATTGAAGAGTCTTTTGAATAGACACATGTCCATGTTTCTGTCCTATATATACTTTTTGCAAGACTTCAATCACTTTTCTGTATTACACTAAGATCTAAAAAATTCAATTGGTTATCTCTTTCATATTCCATTGAGAACGTTATGTTGGGATGAGAGTTGTTGAACTAAGAAACCGAGAAGCATGGTCCATATCATCACAGATACTGTCGTCAAAAAATCTGGTGTAGTATTTTGTATTTCGTGTTTTAGTTTCGCTAGTTCTAGGCTAGTCAAGAAGATATCGGCCAAGATAGGCCCCATGTTCACCCTATCGGTTTGTTTGTATAGTTGATTGTTGAATTGGAAACGAACCCCTTTTGTGCAAAATAGTAATAATTTTCTCAACTCATCTTTAGGCAGAGGAAGTAATTCAAATTGTTCATAAATTATATTAAAAGTTACTGCTGGTGGTATACTCACAAAAAATGAACACATGTGAGAGGATACTATGAATTTATCTGATATATTCAACTGATTTATTTCTTCGGAAAACTGAATTGCGTCTTTTTAACTATTGGCCGCCAGTTTTATACGAATCGATTCTAATAATTATGCTAACCACCGAGCCAACTTATGATATGGTGAGTTAACCATAAAGATTATAGGTCTTAACGGGATGTTGGATTTGTGTACTTTAAGGAGACCATATACCAAAGGCAGTCGTGATCATTTTGCCATCATATTGTTGTAAGTTGAATTATCAATGAGTTTCTTCTTCAAAAGTTCCTAAAGATGTTTATTGACTCTGTTGCAATGGTACCTCCTCTAGATTTGTCGATTTGGAATCACAATTTAGCGTTGAGAATTTGGAACATTTTATGCACATGATTTTTTCGGTTAATTATTACAACACAGGGACACTTATTTGGTCATACTATAATGATCTTATCATTCACTTGTAAATTGGTCAGTGCTGGTATATGTTCCTTCGTCGAATGTTTTGAATGTGTAGTTGCGGAAATATAGTACTGATTTGCAATACCAACCAGTCTAGATTTAAATCAAACTTTTCTGTCTTCGTCTATAGGTTTTTGCAAACCTAGTCGTTCTTGCTTTATTTAAGTTTATCAAAGGATTTGGTTGTATCAAATACATCGAATTTATGAGAAAATGAGATTAATTATATATTGTATTAGCAATATAATCTGTAAAATACATATATGCTTTACAAAAAACTCATCATTGGTTAGACTAAGAAATTGGATATGCAGAATAAGATAAAGTTTCTATGATAAAAAGAATCCACACACTTGAAAACAATCACTTTGTGTCCGTCAGACTTGAATTGCATAAAAGGTATAAAATTGTTTATTAACGGAAAAATTGTTTCTAATAAAGAACCAGGTGAACAACTTGTAAATTATTCACTAAATTACCAAACATTCACATTGACAAAAGCTATTTTCTCAAAGTTTCACAATGACCAACTTATTTCTATTTACAATGAGTTAGTGTGTTTATTTACTTACAACAGATTGTATATATCAAATAATCAATTCTATTTACATTTATTCCGATATAAATGTAAGTATGAACTATTTACTATCAATCGTATATGAAAAGTTCACCAAAAAACGCATATACATTAATTCAAACTAATAAACATATATCTTTGAAAATAATATGATCAATGCTTTATGGAATCTTTACAACAATCACAGTGTCTTTATTTTTTTTTCCGGTACAAATTCCATTCAAGTTATTCTGTTTATTATTATTATTATTATTATTATTATTGGTGATGATGATGATGAAGATCATAAATTTAGTAAATATTATGTTCAAAGTGTTTATCGTCAAGATGACACATTATTTTAAAAGTGCACTGTTAAATAATTTACATTTTGCATGATATTCATCATTCGATGGAGCAATGCAATAAATTCAGTAAACAAGTGATTTCACATTCTAACTCCAATTAATGTAGGTCAGTGAGGAAGACGAAAATTGAACGGCCAGTGTTTAAAAGAAGTTAGCGAATACGAAGGATCTAGCAAGGGGAGTTTGGAAATCTTGATTATAAACCAATAGTGTATATAAGCACCAGGTTACTGGGGCAACGAATGGCAGATGAACTTATTTTAACCGCCGGTTGCCATGGAACTTAATTTCCTGATGCTGCTCCCCTGCATTGTGGATTATACTTCCAGACGAAAGACTCGGACACTAGCCTCCTAAGAAAACCAGATAAGCCGGTTTGGGTGCACAAACAATATATCAGCACTTACCCTACACAACGATTATTACTACTCAAAAAAATGTTATCGCTCCAATTCTCTGTTCATGAAAGCGATACTTATAATTAGATAGTACCATGCAAATCTTTTTTTACAACTTATCATCTTTCCATTTATTTTATTACCATTTTGAGTAAACCTTTATTTTTCAAGTTTTCATAAAGACTTATTGAAATGTGCGCTGATTTTGTTAAGAAAGACAATAGAAGCATTTGGATTAGACGATCCAGCTCGAAGAAAAAACAACCAAGATTTTTAAGGTCATTCAATACCTCATCTGTGATAAGAGTTCTATCCAGTCTAAACGGTCTCAAGTCACTGAATGGAAGATTTATGGATGCACTCACCGGATACAGCACTTGATACAGCTTTCCTGAAGCTGTATTTGTCTTCCAAAGTGATCTTCTTGACATTCACACAGACATAGATTGAACAACAGATAGGTTCAACTGTTGTTAGATAGCCTGAAGTCGATGTTTATCGTATATCTGAGACCAGTATTTAAGACTTGAGCAAAGTACTTGTCCACTATTTCATTACAAATGTTTTTTACAAACGCCCCTATATAGGAACTCTATGGTATTAATGTCCAGTTTTGCTAGAGTTTATGTCAAAGAAGCGGCACTAATCGACTGGATCCGCGTTAACAGTCGTTTCTATGTTGTTAAATTAGAATGTTCCATTAAAGTGAGAAAAAGTTAGCATGAGAAACTATGCTTTCTCGTAATCTACGTCAATGAGTCGACAGATTGCAGTTACAATATCATAGCAATTATCCTACAACCTATTTTGAATATGGTTAATTTCGGTAAAGCCCTTTTATTAACTTACTTAACTGATAATGTTATTCGAGCAGTAGCAATTCGCACATTTCTTTGTACTATTATGATTACTATCATATCTACATAAACGTTTATGCCTGATCACATGAAAGACTAGCTAAAATGTTAATATCTTAAATCAACCGGTGGCCTGCTTGAATATCTGGGCTACCTGTTCCACCGATCTAGATATTTCATCAAGTTATCAGTTTTGTTGTTCGTTTTAGCACATCACTATGTCTATTGTGCGCACAACCTATTCAGGCGCGTTTATGAAAAGTTTACAACCTTTCGCTATACGGGATACAAATAGGTACAATCAGCGACATCATGGTTGCTGGCAATATGCATTGAAACAAATGATCAGTAATCAAATGTGGATTACTGAACTTCTAACATCTAACTGGTCATCATTCAAAATTTATCGTCACAATCGATCAAGGTATAAGAAAAGGAAACTTGTTGAAATACTTTATGCTGAGAATTCTATGTTGTACCAAAAATATAATGTCGAATAAAGCTTCTAATAATAATAATAATAATAGCTAAAATGTTAATATCTTAAATGTTGCTCGATAAATCATTCTCTTCTCCATGTATATATGTACGCAAATCTTATTATTAGCTTTTGCTCTGCCTTGCTGTGCCCTTACAAGATTTGACCATAAGTTTACCTCTGTATCGGCTCACATACATATTCGCCTCTCTGCTTCAGATTCGCTTGATGTGCAGATAGCTTTGTGACATGTGCTATCCGCTAATACACTGTAGTTGCCGATACTTATTGCCTTTTGATTTCAAACACCTTAGGATTTATATAATAACGGTTACAAAGGTGACTGCTAAACGAAGCAAAGCCACTACAATATAATCAAAGATGAATTCTACCGTCAATCCAAGGTCAGGTTTACAACACATCGGCGAGAGAAGTTTTGGTCTACACCTGAGAAACCCGTCCTCTCATAGCTGAAGATGTACAAAACCTCTGTGCTCAATTATCTGTACCTCTGATGGATTATTGACATCCAGTGGTAATACCATGTTTGTAATAAGGAGGTTCAACAATGTGCGTTTGGGCACAATGATGGTGTTCCAGTTAATGTCTTCACCTTGAAACCCCGGCTTAAGTGGTGTGAAAATGTGTTACGAATGTGGTCCCAGCGGCATCCACTTCGTCGGCTATTCGCTGACACTAAGGCTGGATGGGATAAGTATAGAGTCAGTCAATTTATGAAATAGTGCTGTTGCATGGAAGCTGCATAACATTAGCATATGTCTGTTCATTATGACTCCCTGGGTGGGGTCCTAAAGATGGTACAACACAGTGGCTTTCAGATCTTTCACTAAAGTAAGAAGTGGAGGCAAATCTTTTTGTGGCAACGTTAGACGAGACAGGTTGATAAGTAAATATAAGAGTAATAGTTCATTTCAAATATCCCTACTCATTTTATCCGAACGTACACAACGTAATGAGTTCGATAAACCTTTAACATCATAAATTGATTAAAGAGAAAAACAGTTTAGAAATAATTTACACTACAGAGTAATATAAATTGAAGAATCATTGTAAACACTGTAGAAACTTTTCATACAACCCACCTTAGTTTGACAATAAAACAGGCATGTATATTAGTCGGTAGGTATACAGTAATATCTTTCTGATTGATTCATCAATAATTAACGATTGATATGATTTTACAAATTTGAAAAAAATATTACGTAAGATTTCTTTCGACTACCTTACATTCCCTAATTATCAGTATGAGGATTTAAGGAGATTGTAGTACTTTACTAGTTGAATTCACGAGTCAATCTAAGCTAGACCACCATTGAAAACCTGGATGGTGTTATAGCTTAGATTGACTAGTGAATTCAACTACCAAAACTACTATAATCTCCAGAAATTCCCACTTTGATAATAAATCATGTGCTTACTAGTGGCTAGCTTCACGATAGATTTCCTGCAGTTCTAGTGGAGTTTAATCTGTGTCAGATGGAGACAGTTATCTACATAAGACAACGGATGAATGGTTGCAAAAGATCATGGATCGAGTGAAGTTAGACCACCGTTGGGTATCGGCCCAGTGGTCTAAAGGTTAACCGATTGCGCGCGGAACCGAAGGTTTTGGGTTCGAGTCCCATGTGCAGGATCGTGGATGTGCGCTGCTTAGGAATCCCATGCGGGAACGAAACGCCCGCTCAGTGCTTTCAGATTTTCAATGTTGGTCTAGCTTAGACTGATTCATGAATTCAACTGTCAAAATTCCTAATTAATTTAACTTGATTTACTGTGAAATAATAAACAAGCTCAACTTGATAAATGTAAGCTATTTTTAACAAAAATCATATTGTCACTGCCTTTCTTTGCTTTTTCTAGTCTACGAACTCACTTTATTTTCCTGAAAGCACTATTTATTGTTCCAAGATATGATGTACTCGGTGTGGTGTGTTTACATGTAACCTTGAATAACATAGATTATGCAGCACTAACAAAATATAACTATAAACTGTCTAAGTAATTTTTCAGAACTGCCAATTTCAAGTAGGTTGTTAAATGTAAACCAATTAAAAGATAAACACTTAACAAAAAATGATATCTATCCACAAAAAACAAAGCAGGGTTAGTAGTTATGGTTGCAAACATGAATATACAAGTACGTAATAAACGTTTATTGATTTGGCCACCTGATAATTGCAAGGTAAATAATTTGTTAGATACAATTACAAAAAATTTGTGTATGTTCTAATATTAATGTAGGAGTTTTGTGGAGATGGTTGGATGTTATGTGAGATCAAGAACTGATTTAAGTTAGACAATTACATAAAATGTGGAAGTACCGAACAGCTACTTAGTTCTAACGTGGAACTCCTCAACAGTGCGAATCCATGATTCAACCATCGAGGCTTAAATTCTACGATACAGTACGGATTAAATACACATAATTTCTCGAATCTCACTGATAAAGTAAAACAATTGTGAAAACGTACTTAAGTAAATCTACAATTTTATAATGAATTCATGTACGGATATACAAAATGTACAAATTATGAATACAAATAACTTACTCTTTAAAATACCGCGAGATCGTAGGGATGCAGCAGTTGGTCTTGTTCTAAAAAAATCACGCAATTTAACCAACAATTTTTTATCGAGCACAGAAGGTTGTCCAGAATCATCTAAAGTAAATAATAATAATAAAAACAAAATACAGTTAAGCAGAAAATATAACGAATTTGACAATGAGATGCACACCTGATAGTCCAACCATTCAATTTTTAGTTATATATACAATGCAATAGTGAATACTTAAGTACAAAAGGAAAGAAAGGTTAAAACAACGAGAATTAGTAAAGAGAAAATGATTGGGTGTTTCAGTTGTTAGACTTCAGCTTCATTGTTGATATTATGTTTGAAATTCTGTTTTGTTATCGTCTGATTGGTAATCAAAGAATAAATTCTGAATGTTATTTCTTCTTTTCTCATCAGAATGAATATTTGTTCCATGAAATAATTTATAATGATATGAGGAGTTATATACTGTAGTCAAATTTTGTGAAACTAAAAAAGGAGGTTCCGAACTTAAAGTTGAAAATTTTTCAGAAAACTCTGACCATACTGATATCATTGGACTTGAACTTGAAGACTCTTTATAAACTACATGCTATCACTGCCTGCAACCACTAGTTTAATGCATGAACTAAGATTTTTTTTCTATGACACCTTTCTGAACAGTATTTCATTCTATGTTAGTAAATTATGAATGGACGATTATGTAAGCTTCCAAATTCGTGCATTCCCCACGGTCATTTGGTAATATTCTAGTATGTTATCTTTCTAATGCATTGATTAACTTGCGTTTGACCATTTTGTGACTCTAAGTCAGCTGCAGATTTCCACTTCTTAAGAATCGATATACTATTTAGAAATCCCTTATTCAATAAGATATGTTCAGTTAAAGTTATTTTTTAAAGAGATACAATCATGGAATATATAATATTTCGAACTCTATTACTTTTGAACTGGAGAAATCCTGATAAGGTTTCAGAATCGACCCAGTTCATGATGGTGAATTCGGTAAACATACCAGTTAACTCACTTATTAAGAGAAACGTATAAGTGTCAAAGAACCCTCTTCTCATCAAAAAAACTTAATGCCAATACACTAGATTTTTTGGTAGTAGACGACCACCGAAAAAAAAACAAGCAGGTATTTATTAAATGTTATTTCTGTCGCAAAGTCTCTAAATAACCAATACAGGTTAAAGACGGAATCGAAAACAGAGGAATTAAGTCTTAAATGGGGCATATCTTAGATCCCACTGCTAACTACAGTTAATCTGTTTTACATAGAAATCGACCATTGTTAAAACTTTAATCGAATAGGACGGTTAAATTATGATACTAGCAAACGGTTATTTTAGAGCATAAAAAGTGAACGAAGAAAGGCACTTCAGAAAATGATTATTTAAATTTTTTGACATAGTATACTAGAAGCAGGGGTAAACATATTGATGAAAAGTGTCCTTGTTACTGGACAACATAATTACTATATAGGTCACATTCACAGCTTCTGTGTGTCGCTCTTATTACTACTACAATTGATCGATTCTTCACCATCTAAACTCTAACATATGAAAACAAAACGAGTTAAGAGTTACAAAGATAGGCTTCATTAATCATTAAAAATTTGACAAGCACACACGATAAAAGCAATAAGGTTGTGAAAAAAAACTTTAAAAGAAAATAATCACAATACATTGTCTTACACAGTTTAGTTGTCTTAATTTATTGGAAGTTTATAAACTCGTATATAAGATTTAAATATATGGTAGTTTACCAAGTACTTTCCAAAATTGATCCATAACACTTTTAAACATTAACATTATTTGTTTCAATCACAATGTAATTGGTGATTGTTAAGTTTTCTTTTTTTTTCTTCAGCCTGGAAGTAATGACAACCTTCACATAAAAATAAATCATAATGGTCACCTTGAATTTTAGAGTAAGTTTTTAGCGCATTTATTTATTTCTCGTGCAGATACACCGGTCTTGGTGATTGATTAAAATGTTAAATAACTTATTTTTTTTGAATAAGAATAAGATTAGTGATTCTGAAAAAGCATCACGAAACATAACATGAGAGACGCCAGGTTAAACAATTGTAATAATTAGGTAGTTTCAGCAAGACTTGATTAAGTTCTTATTAGTTCCAAAACTTATATTTCTTGTTTATTCATTGAATGCTAGCTGATTGATTTTCAGTAAGTTACATTATAACATACTAGGAAACTGTTCAATTTATTATTCACAACTCATGGTGAACAGATGAGTTGAGTCACTTATTATAAATCTATGAATTTCATCATTTAATCAATTGATAAATTCAATAAACTAAAACTGAAGGTCGATAAACAAATAAATAGAGTAAGTTCTTGCACAAGTATGTACCTGTATATTTGCTACACTTAATATTATAGTATGGTAAGCAGAAAGGAAAAGCAATGAAAATAATAGCATTGATGGATAAATAAAAAATATATCAAAATAAACCGATAAAATCAGACAATACAGAGTGTAGAATAAAATTACACTCAGAATTTATAAAATGAATAAACTATGTCGCTGAAAATTCTAGAAATTATCTCGTTAGATCCTGACTAGGAATTTTGGACAATTCGATACAACATAAACTTATAGGTCAATTAACCCGCAGACTGATGCCTTACTCTTTTCCAAACGACATTTGCAAGTCACTATAGCTCATGGATATAGGTGGTGGTTAAACGTAGACAAATAATGACCTAGCTACAGCAGTTTATAGGAACTCACAAAATTATCAAATTTATGGTTAGATTAGGCTGCAGTTACGACTATTTTTGTGAAGCGTTTTGGTAGATAACTCTTTCAAGTTAGAGAATAGGAATAAAGTATTCAGTAGAATAACGTAAATTCACTGGCTAATTGGATTTGTATTAGTGTTTTACAATCTGCAAGATTAAATTATCGCTTTAGATGAATTTAGCGTAATTCGATTATTTGTATTGCAGTAATCTCGTAAATTCCTATAGATAAATACATATTAGAATGCAGATACATAAATTAGCTTCGTCGATACTTATTGATAAGATGTCCAAAGCTGAATCAAATCTGTATCCACTGTTTTGTAATTTTCAACACTTATTTTAGCTAATATTAGTTAGTAATGGAAATTACTTGAAAGCAGTAAATAGCGCTAAAAATGAACAGAAATACATATTTTATTGATGTGTAAAAATAATAATAAATCAAAATCAACCTACTTAATTTTGCAAGATGATGTAAAAATCCTTTAGTTTTTGCTTTAAGTCTATCCATTAGAGGCTTATAATTTAAGTATTACTCAATAACATATATCAAGAGAAGTGTATTCCAAGTGGATGAGAGTACTGAAAATAGCATATGCACTTAAAGTACAGTATATCATGTGTATCCAGCCAATAAGTTAGTATGATATATATATACCTATTAGTAAGTCATTTAGTAAATTCTTAAAATATTTGTGCATTTACTATGTCAATATTAGTACCATTATACAAAGAGAGGCTGTGAAAAAAACATCCATGGATGCGTGATTCATAAGATAGAAGCATTCACTTAGTATAATCTGACTACTATTAAATAATTTATACTAAGAATAATTTAAAATTCTTGTGAAAATTTCAATAAGGAGATAATTAGGTTTTTGATTAAAAAAGATTATTTTACCAACTGGCTTCTTCATAAATGATAATATAATTTGGATAGTCTAAGTTATCCGGTGAGATTTAAGATATAAATGAAACTATATTTGTAACAGAGTTGAGCAAGAATAAGGATAAGTGAAAACTGTTGGATAACGACATCATTTAATTCCTAAACATAATTTTTCCTCTAGGCAACTAAGTAACTATAAAATTACTGTCAAAAATAGACTGACGAAACCAAACACTTGAACATTGCTCATCGAGCAAATGTGAACGACATGTAAACTTGGGATAAACGAGTATTCGTCCAATTTTATGTTTTATAACAAAAAGGGAAACTTGAAGGAATCAACTAGACGTCCAATAAAGAAGTAAAAATAATGATACGAATGTAGAAGATATATAAAACGTGAAACACAAAATTGTTAAAAAAAAGATAAGAAATAGAGATGGTACAAAACTGGGTATTTAGGGGAAGAGATTATATAAATGCCTCTATGATATCGTGGATTTTTATATAATATATCGCCTAGTTTCTACCCATTGGCATCACGGATTAGTAACATTTCTTGTCCTGGTCATCCCACTATTTAATGTCCAAATCACACTATAACATTTACAGACAGTGATTAGGTATATGTAATACATTTTTAACTGCATGAGTCTGAAGGTGTATAATTAGTTATCATCCCTCGTATTTTGACAGCTAACAATACTATAAGCTAAGAAGTTGTTATGCTATATTAAATTAATGCTTTCAAGATGCTAATCACAAAATACTTACGATTCAAATCTGTTTTTACTTCGTGTGGTCATATGTTGCACTCATAAACTAATATAAAACTGATTTCTGAATGATATGATCGCCTTTTGCTTGGTAGATGAAAACTTCGCTTAAAACAAAAGTGGTATAGTTTATCAGAGATGAAAGGTTTTATGTGTTCACGTCAAGATATGACCATTCACAGGTGAAAAAAGGCTAATTAGACTTCCAAGATAACTTAAGCGGTAGACAGAGCTAACTACTTCACTTATTATTATTGATAACACCAAGTATTAAGTTATATAAATTCCGAAGCAGCAGTTTGAATTAAAAAGAGGAAAAGATATATCCAAAGCACTTTTAAAGACTACAATCTGTCAGTGGGTCTCTGACACCACACATCACAGTGCTTATCCATTTAAGCTTTTTATTAGATAGATATTCGGTTAAAAGTAAGCATGGATTCATAGGGGATTTCTGAAAAACAAAATGTAGAAATCAATAAGCAAAAGAAGTAATTTATACACGCGTATCACTTACATCTGGTTAATGAACGTCCTAACGTGACTCCATGATCTTCATTCTAATTAATGTAGCATAAATGATAAAAGAGACAGTTAGTAGTTAGTTTTATAAATTAATTTTATTCTTATTTAAAAAGATAATAAAACATTTTTCTAGTTTACTTCTTTATATTCATTGCTGTATTTTTTTTAAAGATGGTCATTCTGTTCATTTTATCATAGATAAAATATTTTACAAGCTTTCATTTTACTTTTATTAAAATCAATCCCTTTTGGAAAGTTGACTTATTAATCAATTTCGAAATTCTTGTAATCTATGGGATACTAAAAAAAATTGAACAAAATTAAATGATGAAACTTAAAATCCCAGATTTTTGTTACTATAGAAATTAAAGAGTAATTTTATTTGTTTGCCAGTTATTTCCAAGTTCTACAACCTTATGAAAGGTATACTAATAATAAAAGTATTAATTTAGATAAATGACCAATTAGACTATTGAAACGTATAAGTGAATCGACTTGTGTATATTTTTTTTTCTTTCAAGAAGACAAGGCTTAGATAAGAGTAATATGGGGTGTTTTTTTCAGTTGCTTAGAATTTCTGGGAATAATTGTAAATATGTATATTATACTAATTCAGAATAAATAATATCACAAAAATTGTATTTCCTGTTATTTAGTTTATGGCAAGTGAATCAATTCTCACTAAATAACTAATTACATATTTTTTTAGTTGTATGTTTTACGTGAAATAGAAACTTATAAAGGTATATTGATACATACAAGTATTTTTCTTTATTTAATCTAATACCTGATAATTAAGATGTACTTCTAAATGCTTGAATACATAAGTGACGTGTTTTTTTCGATGGATTTTAAACAAATAATGGCCTTTACATAAAATACATTTCAAAGGTGGTTTTAGTATGTTTCAACTATTACAAAAATACAAAGGGTAGTTGATTAACATTGAAGTAGTGAGTGTGTATGATTATCTGGTTACAACGCAGTAAGATAGTTCAGTATTATAGATTTTTTTCTACAAAGACATAATTTTAGCTTCAACAACTCAAAACATTCAGTTTAAAATAAGCACATTAACGATTAACTCCGCCTATAGCTCTTCTAGAGTTACTGTCGGTCCCAAGCCCGGGTAAAGGAGGAGGGTTGGGCATGGGGCTAGCGAAACCATCCCGTAGAAAACTAACTCGCTAAAAACGCTAACCAGTAAAAATAATTCAAACCATTTCAACTCTGTCCTGGGAGTTAGAAGGTCTTCATTTAGAAGGATTATGACGCTTCATGGTGAAAGCCGAGTTCCTTCGGAAGCCAAGAGGCCGATGCCCCTTCTAACAACCAGAGCAAAAATTTCTATAGGTACATGGAACGTACGGACAATGTAGGAGACCGGGAAGACTAGTCAAATAGCAACGGAAATGAGGAGATACAACTTGGCAGTACTGGGAATCAGCGAAACCCATTGGACCCAAGTTGGACAACAAAGACTAAATACAAGAGAGATGCTACTATACTCCGGCCACGAATAGGAAAATGCTCCACACACTCAGGGAGTCGCTCTAATGCTGTCCAAAGTAGCACGAAATGCACTTGTAGGATGGGAATCTCACGGATCCAGAATCATCAAAGCATCATTCAGAACAAAGAAGGAAGGGATCACAATGAATATTATCCAATGTTATGTACCCACCAATGATAACAACAACGACATTAAAGATCAATTGCAATCAAACACAGCGAAACACCCAAGAAAGGACCTCACCATTCTGATGGGAGATCAAAACGCCAAAGTTGGAATAGACAACACTGGATATGAAGAGATCATGGGACGACATGGACTGGACTGGGTGAGAGAAACGAAAATGGAGAAAGATTTGCAAATCTGTTTGAATTCAAAAAATTGATCATAGGCGGCACAATATTTCCACACAAACGTATACACAAACCTACATTGATCTCACTGGACCACACCACAGAGCACCAGATAGATCATACTTGCATCAAAAAAAATTCCGAAGGACAATGGAAGATGTGAGAACCAGGAGAGGAGCTGATATAGATTCAGATCACCACCTAGTTGTGGCCAATTTAAAACTGAAGCTAAAAAAGAACTAGGAAACTGGACAGACAGCAATACAAAGGTTCAATACAGCCTTCCTTCGAGATACTGACAAACTCAATGAATTCAAGATAGCTCTCAACAACAGGTTCCAAGCCTTACAGGATTTGCTGAAAGAAGGAGAAAGTAGTGTGGAGGACAACTGGAAAGATATCAAAGAAGCGTAAACTTCAACGTGTCAAGACGTTCTGGGCCTCAAGAAGCATCATCATAAGGAATGGATCTCTATAGAAACACTGGACAGGATCAAAGAAAGGAAGAACAAGAAGACAGCAATTAACAACAGCCGAACACGAGCAGAGAAAGTCCAAGCACAAGCTGAATACATAGAAGCAAACAAGCAAGTGAAGAAAAGCATTAGAGCCGACAGGAAGAAATACGTGGAAGAACTAGCAATGACGGCGGAAAAAGCTGCTAGAGAAGGAATTATGGAACAGCTTTACGATACAACGAAGAAACTAGCAGGGAAATACAGTAAACCAGAGAGGCCGGTCAAAGACAAAGAAGGCAAGCCAATCACCGAAATTCAACAACAGCGGAACAGATGTATAGAGTAATTCGAGGAACCCATGAATAGGCCGGCTCCAATGAATCCACCAGACATCGAAGCGGCACACACAGATCTTCCTATAGATGTCAATCCACCAACGACGGAAGAAATCAGAATGGTCATCAGACAAATCAAGAGCGGAAAAGCAGCTGGACCCGACAATATACCAGCTGAAGCACTGAAGTCAGACATCGAAGTAACTACAAACATGCTTTACCTCCTATTCACGAAGGTTTGTGAGGAGGAACAAGTACCGATGGACTGGAAAGAAGGACACCTCATCAAGATTCCAAAGAAAGGAGACCTGAGCAAATGTGAAAACTACAGAGGCATTACACTACTGTCAGTACCAGGGAAAGTCTTTAACAGAGTGTTGCTGAACCGGATGACAGATTCACTAGACGCCCAACTTCGAGATCAACAGGCTGGATTCCGTAAGGACCAATCGTGAACAGACCAAATCATCGTCGAACAATCAGTTGATTGGAACTCGTCTCTGTACATCAACTTCATCGATTATGAAAAGGCATTTGACAGTGTAGATAGGAGGACGTTATGGAAACTTCTTCGACACTACGGAGTTCCTGAGAAGATTTTCAACATTATCCGGAACTCATACGACGGACTACAGTGCAAAGCCGTGCATGGAGGACAGCTGACAGACGCATTCCAAGTAAGGACCGGAAGTCAGACAAGACTGTCTACTCTCTCCCTTTCTCTTTCTGCTGGTGGTCGACCGGATTATGAAGACCTCAACATCGGAGGGAAAACACGGCATACAATGGAAAGCTCAGAACCAATTACACGATTTGGACTTCACAGATGACCTAGCTCTCCTATAGCATACACATGAACGAATGGAGATAAAGACAGCCAGTGTAGCAGCAGTCTCTACATCAGTAGGCCTCAACACACACAAGGGGAAAACCAAGGTCCTCAAATTCAAAGCGGAGAACAGCAATCCAATCACTCTTGATGGCGAAACTCTGGAAGATGTAGAATCCTTCACACACCTGGCAAGTATCGTCGATGAACAAGGAGGTTCAGATGCAGACGTAAAGACGAGGATTGGCAAAGCAATGGCCGCATTCCTACAATTGAGGAACATATGGAACTTAAAACAACTTTCAACCAATATCAAAGTGAGGGTCTCCATTACCAACGTCAAGACAGTTCCACTGTACGGAGCTGAAACTTGAAGAACTACAAAAACCATCATCAAGAAGGTACAAGTATTTATAAATGGTTATCTACACAAGATACTCAACATCCATTGGCCGGATACCATCAGCAACAGCCTTCTCTGGGAGAGAACAAACCAGCTTCCAGCTGAAGAGGAAATTAGGAAAAGACGATGGAAATGGATATGAAATACATTACGCAAATCATCAAACTGCATCATGAGGCAAGCCCTAACTTGGAATCCTGAAGGGGAGCGGAAAAGAGGAAGGTCAAAGAACACATTACGTCGGGAAATAGAAGCAGATATGAAAAGGATGAATAACAACTGGAAGGAGCTGGAAAGGATTGCCCAGGACAGGGTTGGATGGATAATGCTAGTGAGCGGCCTATGCTCCTTCACGAGGAGTAACATGCGTAAGTAAGTACATTAACGAATGAGAAAAAATGACACTATATATATATATATATATATATATATATATATATATATATATATATATATATATATATATATATATATATATATATATATATATATATACATTAAATGCTTGATTCCAAAATTTATTCAACGGTAAGATTAATGATTGTAGCATTACGACATGCCAAAACAGATTTAAAAATAACATTAAAACATTGAACAAAGCTCTGATCAACAGATCAATACATAGAATAAATGATAAAATGGTTAAATTGAAGGAAGTGACACACGTCCCACATTTACCAAAGAAAACTGATTAAGACTCGGTCCTGAATATAAAACAAAAATAAATGCAACAAAAACGAACTTTGTGCAAAGTGTAAATAATTTTTAAGGATATTTTACTAAGTTTCTCTTCGTTGAATATCGTTTGACCACTTCACTTGCCTAGACCCGATGCAAATCAGAATACCAATAAGTGGAAACGGAGTAAGTTCCAATAAGTCGAAACAATAAGGATATAATACTAAAAAAACTTTAGTTTATACAGAATTATTAGAAATATTAGGACTTCCAGGGTATTCTACATTGCTATATCAGTATTGATTGGTTAAAAAAGAGACCAATCAGGATAATCATGAAGCATAAAATTGTTAGGGTTTGATCCTGCTAAAACATTCAGTTTATTTCCATCTCACATCAATCTATTTGTACAAGGTCCACATAAAAATGACAAATTATTTAAAATAAGCATCAAACGATGCTGTGAATTCAGTTATCCAAATCATCGAAAATTATTGTAGAACAATAGGAGACATCATAATATGATTATCAGTATGTTAAGCAGAAGTTAAATGATAAAAAGGCCCACTGAAAATACGTTGAAAAACATCACTAAGAATACAATAGTGCTTCTTAATTATCAACCAAAGTTGTATAGCCTAATGAAAGTCAAGCGAAAACGATATGAATTGGGTGGGAAAACAATGAAACCACTTTGTTCTTTTAAGAACAGATGGATTGTAACTAGCAGTGAAACCTAGGACGCTTGTTTTGTACTGGCCAGTTGAATGTACTTGGATCTAGGTATTGATGGTTACACTGGATTCAAATCCAGTACTTTTGGTCTCAAAAGGCGTAACAGGTTATCTACTGACCGACTGAGTTCAGGTAGCCGCTACCTTGTTTAACGAGAATTAATCTAATTCATCAGCTTTTTCATCTTCACCCTATTAACATTCTTAGCTCAATTTTGATCAATCCTTCTTGCAAAATGTTCACCCTGATAAAAACTCAGTGAAGAATATCAACAACTGGGTGATTCAAAGCCTTATTGCTAATGATGGAGACTAAACCTCTGTTTAACATTCTAAAACTTTAAATGTCAGTAAATTTAATTATTTTCATTAAAATATAGATAAATAAACATGACAGTGTTAAATAAAAAAGTCATCCTACCAAAAGATCCTTCGCATATCGTATTGCAGCTTTCCACGATTCATAGTCGATGGCTGGGATTTGTACTAAATGAACATTCAACTTTCCAGCAGTTTCACATTCAATCTGAGGTTATCAAAACGTAGGAATGGAAACTAAATTAAACTCAGTAAAGATGAGTATTAATTTACATTTAACATAAGTCTAAATAATGCCAGTCAGTCAGTAACAACGTAGAACTTCGTACTTACGTACATCACTTCGAGTTGCCATACCACGTTAGCACAGAGATGCAGTTATCGGAAACATTAGGGTTTGAAGATGCTATTCAAGGAGTATAATTCAGTGAAATAAATTTGAGAAAAAACAAGGGACATGAATAATTCAGAAGGTTAGAATTTGGGAGAACACAAAGAGTGGATGCACCTGCGTCATTGCAAACGATTTTGAGCCATGTCATTCAAGGTCTCTAACCATCGGTTTCTATCGTCTCGCAAATCCCAACCAGGTAGTCTACACCTACCAACATGGCTCAGTCCACTTGTCGGTGACTTCATGGACTTGTGCCATGTTTTGGTCTGGCCGCCCCTAGATTTCTTCCAACCTACTCCTATACCACTGAACATAGCACGTCGAGGCAGTCGGTCGTTGGGCATATGTAACACGTGTCCCAGCCATCTCAACTGATGAAGTTTCACTACTTCATCAATTGATTTGCCATCCTTACCTAATACCCGTTTCATAACAACTGCGTTACTCGATAGTCCCAGAATATACGACCAATATTTCGAAGACATCTATGATCAAATACTAGTAGCCTACGAATATCCTCTACTCTTACCGGCCATGTTTCACTGCCATAAAGTAGGACGGGACGAACTGCTGCGCAGTAAACACGTCCTTTGGTTGATAGACGGATATCTCGCCTACGCCATAAATGACTCAAGTTGGCAAAAGCTAGTCGAGCCTTCTGTATCCGTGCTGAGATTTCAACACACACCAGACCACAAGGGCTGATGAGACTTCCAAGATAAGTAAAGCGGTCAACACGCTCAACTACTTCACTCCCTATCATTAGTTTGGGTGTCCATGCAACCCAATCCTGAAGCAACATTTTGCATCTCCAGGGAAGAATCACATCCCGAACATGCTTGCATTGTTGCTTAGAGTGGTCAGAAGACTCTGCATTTTGTCAGCGTCTTCACCAAATAAAACTATGTCATCAGCATATTCCAAGTCAACAAGTGAACCTCCCGGTAGAAGTTCAACCCCTGGAAATCTAGACGAGGAAATTGTTATCTCTAAAAGTACGTCGACCACAAAGTTAAACAAGAATGGAGAGAGTGGGCAGCCCTGACGAACACCACTTGAGGTAATCAATTATGATAACAGTTCGCCATAAGCTCTCACTCGACCAGTTGTATTCGAGTAGAGAGCCTTTATAAGGTTAATGTACTTCTTTGGTACTCCTTTCAGTGACAAACACTGCCATAGAACCTTACGATCAACAGAGTCGAATCCCTCCTTAAGGTCGAGAAATACTACCATTGTGGGGCGTCTGAACGTGTGTGCGTTCTTGTTATGACTGTGAGAATGCTGCTGATTAAGGGGTAGCGAATTACTGATCGGACCAAAGACGCGCAAACACGTAGAATGACCTAGGGTTCTGATTGGTCCCGCTTCCCTGCCTAATCCAGCCAGTTAAGTCCAGAACGCAAGTCTCAGCCTCGGATATATGAATCATTATATTTCAAACATCCACTGTTCATATACTAATCAAGCAGACCACATCGTACCATAAAATAGAAAATAACATTGTACAATATTGGCCAACAGGAAAATGACACCGTAAATGAATGTTGACCAATGAGGAAACGACACCACCTCAAGTCCAAGGATAGCGTTAGACTTAACAGGATAATTTTTTTCGGATATTTTCCTTGATATCCCAACAGTTCTAGAACCTGACGTAGTGTGAATATCTGATCTATACAACCACGTCCAGGTCGAAAACCGGCCTGGATTTCTCTATTCTGTTCTTCACGAGCTTTTGGTTAGGCGTCGAAGTATTATTGAAGCCAATATTTTAGACACTATATTAGTCAAACTGATTCCTCTGTGATTGTCACAAGAGGACTTTTGTCCTTTCTTATAGACTGGCACAATCAGTGATTGAGACCAGTCAGATGGGATTACGTCCAGTTCCCAGATTCTACCTAAGACCTCAGTTAATCTCACTGCTAATACTGGGCCGCCATCCTTAAAAATCTCAGGGGTAAACCTGTCAGGGCCTGCTGCTCTCCCTCGCTTCATATGTCCGATAGCTTTTTCAACTTCGTAAAGATTCGGAGGACTTACATTAACTTGCCGTTCAGGTTGACTGGAGATCGTGGGAAACCAAAGTGTGGCTGAAGGCCAGTTGAACTGATCCCTAAAGTGTTCTGCCCATCGATCCAATCTCCTGGACTGGGAATGTATGTGTCCATCTTTTTCTGAGTCATGTCAGACTAAGTAAACGATTACACGAGTTTATGTAATTAAGTGACAGGATGGTAGATCCATGTTTATTAAGCCAATCAGATCGTGTTCTGCTAATGAGTGAATATTTATTCTTATTTAAATAAATGTACAAATAAAAATAAACTGTCTCTAGATAAAATCTGCCTCATTGTTTGTCTTCAATTCGTGAATATTAACATGGATTTGTCAGTGGACACGGGCAAATCTTATCAAAACTATCCACTATTCAAAAAGATCAGTACAAAGTTATTGTTTCGCAACATAATCTTTGCTCAAGTTCTGATTTAGATCAACGTATGGGTTAGTTTAAGTAAATACAAGAGATCTACACAATTAAAAGATTTTATTCCTTTTACCAGTAGTCCGATTGATACGAGTTGTTAACATAAGTAGGGTTTAAGTGAACAAAATCAGTCAGTAGACTACAAAGAAAGTTCGAATAATCAATTAGATTGAATATAGTGACCAATAAATTTTGACCTAATGATCGAATGACGTCGTACTCGTATAATGAACGAGAACTCAGTTGGGGACAACTAATTTATTGTTTAATGCAAAATTACAGAGCTCTTTCATAAAATGTTTAAACCATACATTAAACATCTCAACTACAAATCTTCCATTAATAGTCCTTTACATCCTTCATGATTCTTCTATTTCTCAATCCCTTCATGTTTTCCTTTCAGTTTTCTTCAGTTCAATCTCCTCAACCTTCTTTTGAAAGGCATTCAACTTCCGATTGGTGTCACATACTACCTATGTCTGTCAAAATAAGTGCAAACACCATACCCAAATGTAAAAAGTTACATTTTGCATAAAAATAGTTTTTGATCACTCCTGATAAGTAACGAGCAAATACCAAACTGATTTTCATTACTGTTGAAAAAATTGTACGAATCTACACAAACTACCAATGTAAATAATTTTAAAATGCTTATTCAAAACTAAATGATAACCTGAGAGTTACTTCAGTATACTTCAAGGAAGGTGACGAACAAGAGATGATATTCAAACTGATTCAGTGGATATTAAGGACAGTAAAAGGTTAATATAGGTGAGTAGTAAAACAAAAATATTCACAACTGACTCCTAGAAACATTTGTTACTTGAACACTTTTGGCACCACGTGGTAAACTGAATCAAATAGTGTCTGTTAAACTTGGGAGCTAATGACTAAAAGTTAAATTCTTAAAAACTATTCAATCATGGCTCCAGATAAAGAGAATTATCCTGACAGTCATTACAATGTAGTATGAGAGGTAAGTTAGAGAGAATAGAAGAGAATAAAAAAGAATACGTTAAGATGTCATTTATCTGTTTCGCAATCACAATCTAGTTGATTTTTTAAAAAAATACTTATGGTCTGAAGAGTCAGAGATTAACCTTCTACATTCGATTGAGAAGTATGTGGAAAACATAAAACAGAGATAAACAAATCAATAATTATGATCTGATTCTCATGTCATACAGCAGATCTGTCTAAACCCCATTCACTTTAACAACCAAGTCATTTCGATAAAATCTTTTAATTGTTTGAGAAAGGCATACATTTTACTTTAGAATAGAATTAAAGTGAATGCATCCTATCTTATTCTTTCATAGTTTTTCACATTTTCAAATAGAATAATCCTTGCAAGTTACATCCCTTAAGTAACCGCATACTATATCAAACCAGTTTTTTATTGAAATAGAATGTTACGAAGAATCAATCAGTCACTGAATATATATATATATATATATATATATATATATATATATATATATATATATATATATATATATATAATTGTTTCATGATCAACGAAACCCAAGTATAAAAACAAAATTATATCATTGTAATTTTTACTAACTTTGAGCACATTCTTTCTTGATGTTTGTTCACCGTTTGCTTCGCTAACCTTTACCTCTCTAATGTTGAATTGAACATCAGGTTTACCAAGTGGTTGATGTATTTTCTAATTAATATTTTTTTAAACAAATAAATAAATATTATAAGAATCATTACAAAAGTTGATTGTCTCCCTAATTCCTTAGTCAATTTTGATGATTAAATTTTAAGTAAATATGATAGAAAATTATTGTTTTTTCATGTTCAACAGCATATTGTAAACCTAATGTAATATATGTTTCAAATCGAAGTCAATTAATCCTTGAATTACTAAGTCTAGATAAAAACAATAGCTTGTAAAATGAGTATGAATTTAATTTATAAGTGTTTGTGCCTATCAGTTGTATAATGTTATGGACTGTAGTTGATCAATCTCTTTGGGCATATATACACCCTGTGCAGATTGCCTCAATATTTCCATTTAGTCATAAATGTTTTAGTTAAATAAATCCAATATAAACAAGAAATAATACTTTTATCATCATATGTAAATGATAGTTGACGACCATTTATCGTTCATGAAGTAGGTACCGATCTACAGATTTTAAACTCTTGGATTTTCATTTGGAAGAAATAAGAAAACATAAATTTTATATAGGAGTTTTATCATTAGCTTATGTAAATATCTTAAAACATGATAACTAAGAGGTGATATTAAATTATTTTTTGTATATCTACTATAAAATAAATCAGAATCGGTAAAAGTTTAGATAAGGTAATTGGATTACGAATAAAAGACAGACAAGTGATTGTTTATTACGTCCTAGTCTCTTAACAACATAGAATAAATTAATGTTGTAGACATTGAAACAGGATACCTACACTATGCAGTGACTGTTACGTTACAAACTTGGTTTATAAAATTGAGTCGGAAGTTGGGGTTTAGAGTGTATGAAAATTTATTGCATTCTAACTACGAATAGTGTTCTTAAGCCAGTATAATTAAGAAGGCGCAGTCATCACCTCCCCCCCATAACCTAGTTTCAAGATAAACCGAGGAATGTTTACGTTCATACATCATTTTATTTATTTAAAAAACTGCATCAGTCCTGCTGAGTTGGTTTCTTACATTATTACTGAAGTGATGCAGGGATTATCCAGTTGATCGTAAACTAACATTAAATGTAACGCTGACGTGACATTTTGTCCTCTACCAAGGGATGAATGTATTGAACAACGGTTCCCTCTGTACATCTTTGTACATGTGATCTACGGTTGTTTGTGTGGAGGATATTTCTAGTTATGCAGTGGTACTTCAATAATTATGTTTATTTGATAAATCTGTATTTTATTCTATAGTTTATAGTACTGTAAATGTAATACTTATATATATATATATATATACTCATTTTCAGCAACAACCTACTGTAGGAGTGAACAAACCAGATCCCAGTGGAGGAAGAAAGCAGGAAGAAGCGCTGGAAATGGAAGGACACACATTGAGGAAAGCACCCAATTGCATCACAAGGCAAGCCCTCACTTGAAATCCTCAGGGCCAAAGGAGGAAAGGAAGACCAAAGAACACATTACGCTGAGAAATGGCGACAGACATGAGAAGAATGAACAACAATTGGATAGAACTAGAAAGAAAGGCCCAGAACAGAGTGGGTTGGAGAATGCTGGTTGGAGGTAAACATATGTTGAGACGTGAGATGTGATACTGACTCTGGGTACGGAAGAAGGAGCAGTGACCAGGTCAAGAAATGACACTATCCTATTATTTCATTGGTTGTTGGCCTGACTCATATAAGTCAATGCAGACTTCCTGGATAAAGTCCTCATGATTAATGGGGCCATTATTATATCAGATATTTTTCTACATTGTCAATTCATTTAATGTAATTTACTGTGTTGGAACTTCCATTGTACAAAAATTAACTAAGAGCATTACGTCTTCTTCAGCCTAGTATTCTTAGATACATCACTCGACAGGTTGCTAAATCAAATCATAACTTAGATAGAAACACAAATATATTCCAAAGCAAACAGTAAGTTAATAAGGAAAGAGAATGGTAATGTATATAGAAACTTTACACATGAAAATTCAATACCCTTCTCAACTTATCCACTAACACTAACTATTTGAAAATGAACTATTTAGTGTGCTCAAACATAAATGTAATTTAATCAAATATTCATTCAGCTCATAAATGGTTAATAATACTACATCAAGAATATTTATAAAGGAAGATTACTATGATTATTTAGTTCACAACAAATGATTTTATTATCAGTTTCAATTTCCTATGCAAGAAAATATTCTAAGCTAGTACATGATATTGATATAAAATTCCAAAATCAATTAAATACACTCTAAGAATGAAAATTGACAGATTTTTCAACAAAAAATAACTTGAATATAATTTAAGCACCATTTGAAAATTGACTTACAGGTAACGAAGGCTTATTATCTTTGTATAAAAAAAGTAATGGACCACTAAGATGTAATACACCTGGTATCCATTTTTTTGATATACGTTTCCCATTTTCAATTAACATTGTACGAATAACTGCACCACGTCGTTCAAAGTGCTGAAATTTACAATAAAAATCATTTGTGTTTTTCTTTTTATCAAATTGTTGAATATAATTTTAAAAAAAAAACGAATTAAATGTTTAACATCAATCATTCATTGGCAAACTATAGGTTTTGTGTACTTGCAGAAGAAAGAAGTTAGATTGTCAAAATTTGTAAAACTCTAAATAATGATATGCATTTGTAACCAACACTAAGAGATTTTTTTATTTTCCTGGCCTGCACCAACACCTGAACTAAGGATAATGATTGAGGTAGTCGAACGAGTCGACAACTTTACTTATTTTAGAAGTCTGATCAACCCTAATGGGTTGGCGTCTGACGAAATCTCTACACGGATTCAGAAAACTTGCTTGGCTTTTGCCAATTTATGTCACCTATGGCAAAGGCAAGATATCCGACTATCAATTAACGTACGAGTATACTCGGCGAGTGCTGAAGCAAAAACTTGTATTTCGAGGGAGAGAAACGCATCGCAAACACCCTGGTATTGTTGCTCAGTGCTACCAAAAGACTGCATATTATTAGCGTCTTCACTAAACAGGACCATATCATCTGCGTATTCTAAGTCGATAAGTGGACCTCCTGGAAGGAGATCAATGCCCGAAAATTCAGTTGATGAGAACTTTAATTCCAGCAGTATGTCTATGATGAAGCTGAACAAAGATGGAGGTGGTGAACAACCTTGGAGGACATCACTTGAGGTTGCAAAAGCAGATGACAGTTCGCCATAAGCTCTGACTCAACTAGTAGTGTTCGAGTGAAGAGCCCTCACAAAGTTTATGTATTTCTAATGTACGCCTTTCAATGATAGACACTGCCACAGAACCTCTCGGTCTACATTCAAGTCAAGAAAGACTATCATTGTCAAACGCCGATGATGGATATGTGGTCGATGCAGCCACGACTAGGTTTGAAGCCAGCCTGATTTTCTCGTGTTTACAGTTCACGAGTCTTTGTTAGGCGCCCGATCATTGTTGAGACTAGTATTTTGGATGCTACGTTAGTGAAACTAATCCTTCATTGTTGTCACATGATGATTTTGACCCCTTCTTATATATTGCGACAATCAATGATTGTGACCAGTCAGATGCGATAACGTCCAACTCCCAGATTTTGTCTAAAATATTAGTCAACGTGGAATCTGCGTTCGGCTTTCTCGTCACTCAGTTGAATTCTAGTGGGTCTTCTTAATGTGGTTTTCTGCATCCAGAGAGGTGAAAGCAAATGCGTGCTTGTGTTAGAGCATGATCGAAGTTCGAACAGGTATTCCAGAATGAGCGACAATCTTCTATCGAGCCTCTCCAACGATGACTGATGGCAATATGGTCTATTTGAGTCCATCGTTGGTTTGGCGAAGGGGGTCACCATTCAGACGATGTCTCTCCTTATGCTTAAAATTTGTATTTGCTAAAAATAAACGATGATCTGAGCATAGTTGCAGTAAACGATCACAATTATCTGTTCGTTGTGCCGGAATACTAAAATACCCACCTAAATGCCTTTCTGTTTGGTTTAAACTACCTATCTGGGCATTAAAGTCACCCCCTACGAGTACTATGTCTGAACGTTTAGCTTTCTGAAGAAGTTCAGATAGCTTTCTGTAAAATTCATCTTCCACTTCATCTGAGCTGCAGTCGGTGGGAGCGTAGGCAGAAACGGTAAAAAAGGCAACGACGAGTGTCCCTATCCTTCCGAGTTCTTACGGAGCCGTTTAGCCGAACAGCACATAAACGACTGTTAACAGTGATCCATGTTAATAGTGCTTGTTCTGCCCTTGTACTCAGTGCTATGCCTACACCTGCCACTGCACAAGGACTAGCCATCAGGTCGTCAGATACATAGAGAGTGTATGTCGTCGGTTCCCTGTTTTGGCTGGGCGAAGTCAATTGAATAACCACCACACTAGGATCCTGTATGTGTGTTCTGAAGACACAGCATACATCAATGGTACGAGATTCTAGGGTTTTAGCTAAAGAGGCCTGCTGGCCGATTTTACATAAAGTGCGTACGTTGAAGGCTCTGATGTGTAATTTGTGGCGGTTTCAATAGACCTGGGACAGAATTTCACGCACCAACCCAGTTAAAGCGCCGGACATTCGCTTTTTATCCTCTTAATTTCGTAAACAACACCCTGCCTCTAGGAGGCAATGATCAGAACTTCCCTGGCACTAGCTATATACGTGTGACCATATGAGAGCATTTTGAAAGAGAGAGAGAGAGAAAAAGGACTCTCCCCACCTCCGGCCGTACCGGAGCATTAAGGGACCCAAGGATAGTTTTATGTACCCGACACCGGGTTACACAGTTTATATGAAGGGCAGTGATACTACCAGCAATCCGAACTGAAATAATAAGAGTAAAATCTGAACCAGTGATAAAATAGTTAAACTTAAAAGGGTGAAGCTGAAGTAATTATTAGTTTATCTAAACCATGAAATTTTGTTGGAAAATATCGAGTAAACGATTCACCATAAAGAGAACTTTAGCACTCTTATTTTTGAGTTTTTAATTATACCATATTCAAAGCCAATTCTCACTAAGATATATTTAACAGAGTGAATTATCAGTCAGTAACAAATAACTTTGGTTTCTGTAATTCTCTACTCCTACTTGCTTATGATTTTGACTATTTCAAATTTTTTCTCAGGTACCATACATTTTCTAACGTTATATTACCCACACATGTTTTGCGGAATCGATATGAAAGGTTAATATTTTTACTGTATCAAATAACTAAATGTATTATAAAGTTTAGAGCGTAGGGTTGAATTATCGAACAGGATGTGTTTTTCTACAACCAATTGCTTAATTCTAATAAACACTAAACAAGGGAATGAGATACCTTTGTCTGAGTTTCGGATTATCTTCAAAAGGTCCAGTCTTTTAGCTTACAGATGGGGACCAAAAGAATTTGATATTCGATAAAAGTGATTATTTTACAACTATAGACAGCATAATGCTTAGAAGCCTATATAAAACTTGTATTTTTCAACAGTTTCATTTGTATATATCCACCATTTCTGACTAATTAATAGCTATTGTTGCAGCCAGTTTAATCTAATATGCAGAAATATGTAAAGTATATTTGTAAACAAACTGTAGTGATCATTAAGAAATTAAAAAAAATAAAGTATAAATGACAATTACATCCTAATCACTAGCTACACATATCACAATTTCAGCACAGTTTAAAAGTAAGTAATTAGCATGATTTTAGAGAATCAATTTGAAAACGAACATATAGCTAGAAAACTTTTTGTGTACCGTAAGTTTATTTTCACTTGGTCCACTGATATGTTCTTTGCTTAGATTCTTCATCTGAAAACGTCCACCTGCTCCTTGATCTTGATCATCAAGACTGACTAAACTGAAAGGTCGATTGATAACTTGTGTTGAACAAACTTCAGAAGGTATATGTGAACTTCGATGAGACTGTAAAACAAAACAAAAGAAATGTTTGCATATGCAGTTATTAGTTTCAAATTCAGTATTTCGAACGAGATATAAGTATAGATTCAAAGTCATGTTTTTACATTTTCAACAACTTGTATCTACCTCTGAGTACACAGAATCCTTGATAAGGCTGACGAGGTAAATAATTTTAGTGTCCACTAATCAAGCGTTTGAAATCTCTACTGTTAACTAAACACTAAAACAACTTAAACCCTGATATTGAAATAATTTTTTAAAAAATAACGATTAATTTGTAATAAACAATTTATTCTCTTTTATTTTTATAAATAATAAAAGATAATTTCGTGAGTGGCATGAACTCTAAAGCAATGTACACTTCCTGGTTGAATCCTTGGTTTTTGCAGAGTTCATTCTGAGCAATTAGAGTAGAATGCATTGAGTTTATGAGGGCAATAAATGAAAATAAGATGTGATGAACATTCTCTACTGAAATTATTGATGCCGTTACACAACATAAATGACTAGTGAGAGCATAATAAACCTAAAGGTACCATACTCGATTCATATGACAGGAGCAAAGTAACTGAAAATGCTTATAGCACTTAAAATACACTTGGTGTTGTTTTACTTGTATATTCCCATTGTTATTTAGGACTCCAGTTGATCAGTTTCATGTTGTCATATTTTTAAGCAAATATGAACAGTGACTTAAGGCTATATCGAGACAATCCGCACAGGATGCACATATGCCAACATGAGACTGACCAGTTGCAGTCCTAAATAACAATGGGAATATACAAGTAAAACAACACCAAGTAAATTTAAACTTCACCTCATTGGACAAGCAGGTGGTTATCAGGACTCAGTAGCTAAGTGGATAACGCGATGGCATTTGAAGCGAACGGTACTGGGTCTGAGTCCAGGAGTGGACATCAACTCTGGGATGCAATCATGAATAGCAGGTATATCCAGCCGACGAGTCCCATATAGGACGAAACGCGCGTCCTCGATTCCATTGCTAGCCACTATTCATCTTTGCTTAAAAATCTTGTGGGCACTTACTTTTTTTTAATTCACTGAGTGCATAAAATGAGTGGGATAATCTTAGCAAACGATAATTGTCTTTCAAGTAATTATATTTCAGTCACAAGAAAATTGTGAAGTAGGAACATCAAGTAACTGATTGCAATCAACTAAAAAAGTAGTAGCAGATGTTGAATCATTTTTACAGAAGGTACTAATGCATGAATAAAAAGCGGAACTTAATTTATACAAAAAATGGACTAAAAACCAACTCATACCACTTTAGATTGACTCATTGTTCTCCGATTAACTTTACTGATACTTGACATTCTAGATACAGATGGATACTGATTAACATAAGAACCATTATTTTCATCTTCAAATACTGAACAGTCAAAAGCTTCCTTGGAAGCATTCGGTTCATTAATATCTAAATAATTATTCAATGAGTCGGATGAATGTGGCGCGTCTGTAGGTGATGTTTCTAAATCTTCAAGTGCCCATACGGAATGACGGGTGTTTAGTTCATAATAATATGTTTTTCCATATTGATCAGTTGCTGGAACCCACTAGAAATTTCGATAGGAAAAAGGACAAGAAGAAGACTTTAAACTTAAATCTTAGGCAAACAATAATTGTTTACTTTTACAACTAGTCATCATAAAATTGTCGCATCATGAAGTTACTTGTGTCAACTATCAAGTATGTATAAGAAAATTTATCGCTTTGTTTTAATACTATAATTTTTTAAAAATTAAACTTGCAGAAATGTCTATTTATCACAACTACAAATTACTTAACAGGAAGCACTTAAAATTAATCAGAAAACGAGGTTTGTGTATAGCTCGTTTATTGCATTAATATCCATCATAAACAAACGTGAAATTTCTATTATTTTTGAGTATACTGAATTTCTTAAAAACACTCAGCTAAAATTCTGACATGGTACTACTTAATTAAAACAGAAAAAACTAAGATCTCATTCACTTATGCATATATCTGACACACAATACTGATAACTTCCATTCCAAGTGAGATATTCAATTAAGCAGCACCAAATTTATCTGTTCTTAGAAATATAAAAACTGTAGAGAGAACTAAAAAGCAACATCGGATTTGTTATTTTCAAACTGTTTACCTATGAAGCAACTAGCAAACTATATGTTACGATGAGCATTGCAACAGTTCTCTGAAAAACTTCAAGTAGCCTGTTCAGCATAAAAACCCTCATCAATCTCATACAAGAAAGTAAACAGTAAAATATCTCCAAACTACACTTCTTATCACTATTGGAATATAATTCAAAGTGATGTGACTGAAATCGCTAATTCATAAGGGATATTATGTACTTCGAAATAAAAAGGTCAATATTCGAGAAGGTTCAAGTTAAGACGATGGTAATGAAATTCCCAACACAAAAAAACATAGTAAACAATATTTGTTTACCGAACACTATTAACACTATTTACTAATTAAGTACCCTTTCATTGAAAAATAACATTTCAGTTTGTTGGTCTAAGCTATTAAATTCACAGTAAACACATTACTGAAATATTTTACCAATATCAAATTAAGAGAAAACGTGAGTACAAACAGTTGTCAATCAATAATTTCTAACTGATTATTTAAGTGTAATGACTATCACAATCAACCTATAACTTTTATTTATTTTAAGCTACTAATGGTATATGATCATAGAGTAACTAAAATGAGCGGAAAAACCAAAGTAAAAAGACATGAATTCCCAGTTTTTATAAAAATTAAAAACAATCATAGTTATTATTATTAACCTTAAACTGACTTTCTCATTAGTTGCTTCGTTAATGTACATCTCTTGACCATTGTTTACACAATGACGCCAACGGACTCCATTCGCCTGATTATTTGATAAGATATCGGAAGGTGAAATATTCTAATAAAAATCAATAATAAATAAAAAAAATTTAGTCTATAAAACGACTATAATAGAATCTTTATTAATCATTAAAAAAAATTGATACTTATAACTTATTTGTTTCATTAAAGACTAGTTTTGTTATAGTTACAATTAGACTTTGTACATATATCTTTGAAATAGGAGAATAAGTAATACGGTTGAATTGTTTGTTCTCGGAAAAAAAAATAAAGGAAAAAAAATAATGTTTCGTATATCTATCTAATGAATAAGTGTACAACATTTTCCTGATCAAATAATAATAATTCTTTAGAGTCGATTTTATTCAAACTATAACTATTTTGTTGGTGATACACAATTAAGGTTATTCGTAAATTAACAGTAGATACAATCAAAAAAAACCTGGAAAGTATAAACAGAATACATTAATGATGAAACATTTTACTGGATATAAACAGGTTTACAATACTTTTGGGATATATATATATATAATAGGTCCATTTATTATGATCCGAGATATTGTCAAACTACTGAAAATCTAATTTAGTTAATACCAGATAACATAACTCTTAGTAATAGGCAATCCAAAATCTGGTAATCACTTTAAAAGTCAGGATTGAACTTTCCTTAAATTCCAACAGTACGAAAATCTACCCTGGTGGCCGAAAAATATCTATACAAATGTATTGCTTGATGTTATAAAATATTGTAACGAAACATAAAACTGAGGGAAAAAGAAAAAACTAAGTAAACAAACGACAATACATAATATATCTATTTCTTTTTGATAAGCGACAACTACAACAGGAATTACATTCAGCATTTCTGTTGAATCACTCGACATCATCTGAAGTTGAGATGCTTCATTTAATGACCACATTGTGGACTGAACCCGTAAAATTCGGACAGTACTAATGAAAAAACATCATCTAATTAACCAAACAATAATAGTAATGACTTTATTCTATATTATATGTTTAGTACAATACTAAATTCTCAGTATTCAATATTTCATTAAGTCTCTCTTAATCTTCTTATATCACAAAATATATATCTGCATGCACGTATATGCATGAAATAAGCAAATAAATTGTCTAAAATTGAATAAAATATTTTCAAAGAAAATAGGAATTTGTACAATTGTGAAATAACAAGATGTTCAACAATACAAGTTTTTGACTAAGTTAATTCAACTTGGTGACTAAGTAAAACCAACCTAATCCTCTAAGAGGTCAACTGCTGTACGAGTACTACAATGATTATTTGTGACTGTGACAAATAAAATTCATTGCCGACTGGCTTAATCAGGTCACGTTTTATTCGAGATATATCATAACATATCCAAAGTTAATATTCAATACCATCTGCAGTAGGATTAACGTGTAAAACGAGATAAGGGTAACATGTTCAGTAGACTGGGTTAACCTGTAAATTGAGGTTTACTGAAAAAAGCATGATCTATAATCCTTAGTGATAAAAGCTTTGTTTTCTACTGCCACCAAAGTACTTGATCCTAAGCAATACCTACTCAAACTCATCATGTGTAGTATTTTTAAAATACTTATTTCCCTACAGCTTGTCAGAACATTGGAGACCTTATCAACAGCAATATCGACCCGTTTAGGCACTACCTCCTTTTCGTAATAGAAAGACAGTGTCGTACAAGATGCCACCACACTTCGGTGCAGCCAGAAAAACGAATTCGCTCTGTAAAATTAAATTATTAGTTATTTTTTACTGTATCACTTCTTAACTGAACTTATTGATATACTGAAATTTCAAAAAAGAAACGTTTTAGTTAAAGTGGTCAGTTAGTCAGTCAGCTACAACGTACGACCAGGCATATTTATGCATCGGTCCAAGTTGCCATACCTCATTAACACAACAAAATGGACACCGGATTCATAAAAGCAGTTAACTCAGAGGTGATAATATATAAAAGAAAGATTGCAATAAGGATATAGTACAGGAAGAAAGATTTTGTACGTAGAAAGATATGAAGCGATTTCAATCTCTTAATTTAAGGGAAAACAGAGAGTGTATACACCGACGCCATTGTGATCGATTTTGAGCCATGTCACCAAGAGTCTCCAATCATTGGTTACGATAGTCACGCGGACCCCAACCAAGTAGTCTGCATCTCCCAACATGGCTCACACTAGAAGTTAGTGACTTCAAGCACTGATGCCACGTTTTGATTTGGCCGCCCCTAACTTTCTTCCAACCATCCCGAACGCCGGTTAGCATTGCACGTCGTGGTAATCGGTGTTCAGGTAGACGTAACACGCGGCCCAACCATCTCAGTCGATGAAGATTCACAACCTCATCAACTGATTTACCATCAGTCCCTAATACCCTGCGTCTAACTTCACTATTACTTACCCGGTGATCCCAGCAGATGCCAGCAATATTTCTGAGGCATCTGTGGTCAAATATTAGTAGCTTACGAGTATCTTCTACTCTTAATGGCCATGTTTCGCTGCCGTAAATTAAAACAGAACGGACTGCCGCGCAGTATACTCGTCCTTTTATTGATAGACGGATATCTCGCCTCCGCCATGGGTGACGTAAGTTGGCAAAAGCCAAACGAGCTTTTCGAATCCGTGCTGAGATTTCGTCAGACACCAACCCATTAGGGCTGATCAGACTTCCAAGATAAGTGAAGTTGTCAACGCGTTCGACTACTTCACTCCCTATCCTTAGTTCAGGTGTTGACGCAGACCAGTCCTGAAGCAACAACTCGCTTTTAGGGGGAGAGAAGCGCATTCCTAACATTCTGGCATTGTTGCTCAGTGCTACCAAAAGACTCTGCATTCTATCAGCGTCTTCGCCAAACAGGACTATGTCATCCGCGTATTCTAAGTCGATAAGTGGACCTCCTGGAAGGAGATCAATACCCGAGAATTCAGTAGACAAGAATGTTATTTCCATCAATAAGTCTATGATGAAGTTAAACAAAAATGGAGAAAATGGACAGCCTTGACGGACACCACTTGAGGTTGCAAAAGCGGATGACAGTTCGCCATAAGCTCTGACTCGACTAGTAGTGTTCGAGTAAAGAGCCTTCATAAGGTTTATGTACTTCTGTGGTACGCCTTTCAATGATAGACACTGCCACAGAATCTCGCGGTCTACCGAGTCAAATGCTGCTTTTAAGTCGAGAAAGACCACCATTGTCGGACGTCGATAAGTATGCCTGTGTTCTAGAATCTGACGAATGGTGAATATGTGGTCGATGCAGCCACGACCAGGTCTGAAGCCAGCTTGAGTCTCTCGTGTTTGCAGTTCACGAGTCTTAGTTAGGCGTCTGATAATTATCGAGGCTAGTATTTTAGATATTATATTAGTTAAACTAATCCCTCTGTGGTTGTCACAGGATGATTTTGACCCTCTGTTATATATTGGGACGATAAGTGATTGTGACCAGTTAGATGGGATAACGTCTAACTCCCAGATCTTAGGTAAAATATTAGTCAACCGAATCGCTAAAATTGGACCACCATCCTTAAAGACCTCTGGAGCCAATCCATCTGGACCAGCTGCCCTTCCTCGTTTCAGATTAACTATAGCCTTTTGAACTTCAGCAAGAGTTGGGGGACCTACTTCAATGTTCCATTCACACTGTCTGGGAATGGAGGGTAGTTGTAGAGTAGCTGAAGGCCAGTTGAACTGTTCTCTGAAATGTTCCGCCCATCGTTCTAAACGTCTGGACTGGGAGCAGATGAGAGTATCGTCTTTTTCCGATATAATCTCACTTACACTTGACTTATTAATTCCAGTTTCTTTTATTAGTCTGTAAAGCTGTCTTGTGTTCCCTATAGTCGCCGCCTTTTCCATCTCTTTTGCTTTCATTGCCCACCACTGCTCACGGTCGTTTCTTAGACTTTTTCTTAACCTAGATCTGATTTGTTTTCGCTCTTCATCATGTTCAGAACCTGATGGGACGAGTTTGCGAGAATCCATCAGTGTGATAGACTTTGAAGAAATCCATTGGTTCTTTGTAACCCTTTGGTTTAAATCACTGATAGATGTCACTGCTGTTTCCACAGCTGTTTGTATGGCTTTCCAAGCAACAACTGGGTCAACCTCGTTTTCAGAACTACCTAATCGTGACCTTAGTTGTTCCTGGAACCTACTTTTGGTTTTCTCGCTACTCAGTTCGGTTCTAATGGGTCTTTTTACTGTGGCTTTTTTGCGTCCAGTGAGGTGCAAGCAAATGCGTGCCCGTATTAGGGTGTGGTCGGAGTCCAAGCAGGTACTCCAGAATGAGCGACAATCTTCTACCGACCCTCTCCAACGATGACTGATGGCAATATGGTCTATTTGAGTCCATCGTTGGTTTAGTGTAGGGGGTCGCCATGTTAGACGATGTCTCTTCTTATACTTAAAATTTGTGTTTGCTAAAAATAAGCGATTGTCAGAGCACAGTTGCAGCAGACGATCACCATTATCTGTTCGTTGTGCTGGAATGCTAAAATATCCACCTAAATGCCTTTCTGTTTGGTTTAAGCTACCTATCTGAGCATTAAGTCACCCCCTATGAGTACTATGTCTGAACGTTTAGCTTTCTGAAGAAGTTCAGAAAGCTTTCTGTAAAATTCATCTTTCACATCATCTGAGCTGCAGTCGGTGGGAGCGTAGGCAGAAACGGTAAAAAAGGCAACGACGAGTGTCCCTATCCTTCCGAGTTCTTACGGAGCCGTTTAGCCGAACAGCACATAAACGACTGTTAACAGTGATCCATGTTAATAGTGCTTGTTCCGCCCTCATGCTTAGTGCTATCCCTACTCCTGCCAGTTCACGAGAGCTGACCATCGCGTCACCAGATACACGGAGAGTGTATCTCGTTGGCTCTCCGTTTTGCCGAGATGAGGTCAAGTGAATGACCACACTGGGATCCTGTATGCGTGTTTCAGAGACACAGCATACATCAATGGTACGAGATTCTAGGGTTCTAGCCAAGGAAGCCTGTTGACATATTTGACATAGGGTGCGTACGTTGAAGACTCCAATGTATAGTTCGGAGCGAGGTTTCAGTAGACCTGGGACAGTGTTTTGAGCACTAGAATCGTTGGCTATGGTGACATTTGAGGAAGAAGCCGAAAAAGGAAGTTTAGAGGTTAAAGTTGATGTAGGAGGAGTAATAGGAAGTGAAGACGGAGTTTGATTAGGAATACAGTGGTCTTGAGTGCTGTTAGAGGTATGAGGGCGGTTATCACTTCCCGGTTGCCCACACCGTGGAAGGGTTGTTCTGGAGGTAGCTGAAAAGGAAATTGGATTAGAGGTGGTCTTAGTGACCTGAGAGCGTGACCGCAGTGCCCAAGGGACAACTGCTTGTGGTCGGTCACACACGACCTTTTTATGGGTAATTTTTGTGTTAGCTCCATACTTGTTGAGACCTTACCGCCGGAGACGGATATCCGTGGGATAAGGCGAGGTGTGCATTTTTAGGGTCGACCTTTTCTAACCCCACCCCTCCTTGTGGGAAGGCAGCATCGCTGTTGTGCTGGTTGTCTGAAGGAAACACCTTACTGCTGTCACACCTCTGTACAGTCAGCAGTACGACTTCGCCTTTGGACCTTGGGTTTGTTACTTTTAGTCTTACCGCTCTTCAACCGACCTGTCTGACATGGTAGGACCTTGAGGAACGGTTGTTCCAGCCAGTATAGCTCGGTTGCTTCATCACGATAGACAAGCCCGACCACCACGTCAAGGTAGCAACGGTCGGTGGTGGTCAAGCCTAATAATTATATCAAAGAACTAAACATGATCAACAGGTGAATTTGATGACTGAGCAAAATATTCAATTAAAAGATCGCCGAAACAAATTAATGTATTCCATAGAATAAATTATATAAAAGGGATATCTTTATCCTCTCCTTTCAGATATTTTAGTTGAATGGAGTCGGGGAAACTAGTTATAGATCAAACCTGTATTTATATAAATCAGGTTATACTCATCTGAAATGGAACTGATCATGTTCGGTTTACTACTGTGACACCTCACTAGTAAAGTGCAATATCCCAGAATAATCGTATGAAATGATGATTGGGGAGATACCTCAATGTAAATAAACAGTGCTATAGTTAAATTACAAATCAATGACATGCTTCTAAGCAATTGAGGTACAGCTATTAACACAGACAGTTTAAATCTCAACAAGCTAACGAATATAATGCTAAGTATGTATTTTTAATATGAAACAGTACGATAGTGGGACAACATAAAGTTTCTAGTAATTAGGAGAGAGAAAAGAAACTTACTTCCATAGGACTATCCTTACTACGTCCAACTGAATATTGTGAACCATCAGAAGATCGCGTGTACTCAGAATCTTGATATGATGAGGCTTATATATTAAATATAGGAGATAAACAAAAACATTATTGAATACATCTGACGATAAAACCACAACTTATCCAATGGAGATAAAACTAAGTCAGCTAAATGACGTTTTGAGACTACACTAGAGGGAAATACTTTAGTGAAAATGACTAACTATCTCATTTGTCGTGCAAACTAGCAATAAACTACTTACTAACAAATCTACGATTTTAAATTTCCATAATGGGCATGTTATTCCTAACAGTAAAATTTAACTTATATGTTTGTTATTTTATGAAATAACTCCAGTCAACATAATTAATATGCATAGTTGGTTGAATGTGAAGGTTAGGATGCTAAATTAAAACCATTTCCATCCCATATTTTCACATTTCTAGATTCATGAAGGTGAACTTAGTTTTTGTCTTCAAAACTGTTGACCAGCTATTTTAACCTTGTTGCAATCGCTATACTTTGTTACCAGATGGTCTTTGCTTAATATTCTTTACTTCTGTTTCACTAGATAAATTATTTGAACACTTCGACTTTCTAACTCTCCATTGTTTTTCTTCGCTAATACTAAAGTCCAATACCAAAGCTCATTACGATCCGATTATCTTTTGTTTACATCCTAAGTGAATATCGTCAGTTATAATTAAACATTTAGAATGCTTAAAAAATCAGAACTACACAAGATATAAGATTGTTTGCGACACTATAGCGAGACAAACTTTTGAATACAGTGCTAGTTATGTTCAAATATAATGGTATGCCGGTAACTTCAGACTAATCTCAGCTTTCAAACAATATTAACTGTTGGAACAAACATAAAATATACATTCTAGCTAATCATTAGATATTGCACATCAAAATGGCATTTCCATATTTGAATTTTGATCATTTTAGGTTTGCGGTAATAAATAGTAGTTTCTGATTGGAAACAGTTAGTAGGTTTCGTAAATACAAATGATACACATTTGCTATAGCATAAACGATCGATTTTTATTTCCAATTAAGAAATAAAAACTGACTTTGTTACTTCGGAAGCTTAAAAAAATGGGTTAACCAATAAACATTTGTTGATAAAGTGAAACTCTTAACTTAACCACAATCAAATGAATTAGATTCAGAGTATTTTACTTACCCAGGTTTTTTTCCTTCACTTCCATAACTTTTACATCATCTTCATATAATGATGAAGTACATCTTCCATGAGAATTTTTGTCACTATCATAAGTGGCCTCTTCAATATTTGGGTTTGAGACGGGATCCTACGTTAAGCACAAGAAGTAAACTTAGAAATTCTGTGTATTAATTACAATAAAATGATATATCATTGGCACAAAAACATTCAGTAAAAGAGTAGAAACACTTTAAAGAGATTTTATCAGATGCATCCTGAACATGTCATGAATTATCATTATTTGAACACAAATGTTAGTACAAATGGGCACCAGATACATATGAAGAGATAAAGAATGTAAGGCGTACAGAAATTAGTGTATGATAGTGAAATAATAATAATTGGAGGAGCGGTTCAGTTGGCACAGGTACAACCAGAAAGAATTCTTCCAGTTAAAGAAGTTACGTCCATCTTTTATGAAGAAAGTAAAGTAACAGCAGGATCATCACTGGCTTCCATTATGAGCTATATTTGATAACGTCGCACATCTATAACGTTGCACCTTCTCTAGGACCCCAGCAAAAAAGTTGTGAAGGACCGACAGGAGCCAGTCCTGTACAGCTTTTTTTCATACCACGACATTATGTCATACACTGACCACTTCTTTGCTTTTTCCAACCAGTCCCAGTGTCGGCAAATAATGCACGGCGTGGAATTCAATGGGAAGACATTCGTAGAACTTGTCATGAAAGTGATAGATTGAAGCAATTTCATGTCCGCATAAAATGATTATGATTGAGAGGACTTTAATTGGCTGGTATCAGTATACTAGTACACTATATGCTACATAGGAACATCCAATTAACTAAACTAAGTGGGAAGTTCTAACTCCCAACAATTAGCAACAAGTTATGAAAACACAATTATGGATCATTGCACAGGGTCCATGCTAACCTTTTAGGTATCGTGATATCCCAATGAGCATAAAATTGTATTTCCGACTTGTCGTGACTGAATTTGGATCACTTTTTCATTGGAATATCACAAAAATATATTTATTATTAACTTTCTACCCAGTGTTCAATTTATTTAAAACTATTAAGTCCAACCGTGGGATTGATATCTAAGATAAAAAATTTTAAACAACTCAAGCTTAAATTAATGGTGGGGTTTATCACGCTAGTACTGTTAATAGTTTCTCACTGGTTTAGGTTCTTAAACTATAACCACTGAGGTATAGGTTTCAGCTGTCTCCTACATACCAAAGCAGGTTGGCAGAGTTGTCAACTTCCTCATAATAGTTATGGCTTGCAATTTAGTTTATTTATTTTATTTCTTTAAACACATAAATATTGGTAGAAAAAGGCACCGAATACATATGCGCCACACAAGTCACTTGATTTGGGTGTGTGCTATGATACTGCCCGAGTGTCCAAACCAAAGTAAGTAGTTTCCTTAGGGGGTCACACCAGGAGCCGTTGACCCATAGGTCTGATTCACAAGGCAGTAGAGCAACATCGTGAGATGTAGTCCCATGGTAGCCGGTGACCAACGATTGGTTCGTACTACATATGTTTCTTTAGGATCCTGGAGTCCATGTGGACAATTGGTTTGGAATCAAGGTTTCCCAACTCCCCTAGGTGGACTCCGTGTTCACCAACCCAGATATTCGCTTTTTGTCCTCTTAATTTAGTATACAACACTTCCGCCGCGAGATGGAAATGACTAGGACTTCCCTGGTAGTTGCTGTATACGCGTGGTCATGTTAGAGCATTTCGAGAGAGAGAGAGCTGACCCTCCCCACTCTCGGCCGTACCACGACATTTGGGGACAAAACTGAGGATAACTAAAGACTATTTTCATTATAACATAAATACAAAATGGTAGATGATCAATTCAATACGGTCAATCAACTATTACAATAATCCGTAGCAAACAATGCTTCTAATTTGCATTGCTAACTGTTAGCGGGACATAGATTGGATTAAAGCATGCACGATTGCGTTGGTGCATGCTAATTGGCTAATTCTTATCTGATAACTTCATATTTTAATGTCCAGAATCCATTAATCGTTAAAGCACGCAAAAACTAAAAATTATCACAAAGAACCATACTACCTTTATAGGAAAACGCTGTGAAGAAAAAAATTACCTGCATGATTGTGCATGATTTCGACAGCTGACCCGACATTAAACTATGCAAAAAATAGGTATTATTAAGATATTAAATTTCAATGGCTACAAAAATCTGAAATATTATGCGATCAAAAATTTGAGATCAAATGAGAGAAAAGAACGATTTGCTTTTAGAATCACTTTTGACAGCATGTGACTACCGGTCGAGACCCAATAACACACCACACCAATAGTCTTCTTACGGATGCACTGCAACCATTTGCCCAAGATTTACGTCTTACTGTAACAGTGAACGACCGTCATATAAGTCAATAGTAACGACGTTTTATGAACCATCTAGAATGGTTGGCTTAGTTAGCTGTTCAAGTCAATATACATTTTTAAACGAAAATATTCTGTGACTCTTTGAAATTCTGAATCAAACCCACGACTATATTTATCGATGACTTATATATTGTGTTAGTCTAGATATAAACGTACGGCAAAATTAAGTGATGGCTTAATAACTGTAACAAGGATTAAATTATTATTCCGTAAAGGAGGCTACAACATTATGGTTTTAAACTATTGACAGGAATTTCCGAACGAAAATCTGTTAGTCAATAATAAAATAATCATATTACAAAGCTTAGCCTAGGTTTTCTCCAAGGATTTTGAGATCTGTTTATTCCAGATCTCAGCAGCCGTATATCCTTTAAGTTTGGCATGCCTAAAGAGAGGTTTCTTTTGGACTGCCGCTGGGGCAGGTTACAATGTATGCACAACTCAAAAACTTTCCAAACGCGTCTCAGAACATTACACGGTATGGCTCTTAGAAGTGTAATGAAAAGCTATCATTAGCTCAATACAAGAACACCTGACTAACTCCAAAGAATTCGAGCTTTAAATAAATCTATACAGTCAAAAGAAGTGGATCAACAAGAGATCAAATCAAGAACCTGTGTACCCCTGAGGCGTTGACGATCCACTAATTCAGTCCTTAACTTTCTGTCCAAAAATAATACGGCCAACCTCTTGCCCTTCCTTGGAGATAATGATATATTTGTCATACCTAGTGAGTGTGAATTTAAATTTCTGACGTTTCGTGACTAAACGAAGGCCACTTCTTCACAGTAAATTAAATCAACCAATAAGTAAGATCTAACTGCTAGTCACTCATAAAATATCTGTAGGATAACTGCCCGACAATTTTATTATAACTAAATCGCATAATTTTTCAGTTGAAACATTGGCAAAGGAATACAATATGTGAACAGCACAGTGAAGATGTAGTAAATTAATTGAAATGCGGGTCTTAAAAGGAATTTGTAGACAATCAACTACGCTGACTAATTCGTACCTTAACAAGTGGGATAATGTTCAAATTCAGAATTTGTCATTCCTAATTTAGGGATACTTTTTTAACAACTTGAGTGCAAATTGCTAACCAATGTTTATTCCACAAAACCCGAAACCTAACGCAAACATGTTGACCCAAAATGCTGCAATTTATATCAGAAAAAACGGAAACTAACAGGATGAAAAACAAATGAGTGGAAGTAGTAATATTATTTGAAGCGGAAAACTAAACACGAAAAAATATGTAGTTCCAAAGAAACGAAGGAGGTTGGGAAATGAAAATACTGGTATGCTACCGGTGTTTAACTCTAGAAGACGGGATGAAATGGTCACTTTGTTACGGTCCAACTTAATCCATATCGCCTGATATCTTTAGCCACAGATAACAATTATCGCACAAACCGCAATTGGAAAATCAGTAACTCTGTATACGACTCTGACGAGTAGTCAGCGACTTCATGTCTTGTGTTTGGCTATATTCATCACTTAGTAAGTTGTAACACGGTGTTCTGAGTTTCTCGGTAGTAATTCAGTTGAACTATTTGGTAAAAAAATATACTCAGATGAAATATAGGTTTATTGTCTTGGTTTCAAAACGTACGGAAAAGTTACTGCTCTACATATCCCATGGACTACACCCAGGGGTCCGAGAAACTCTTCAGCATGGAGGTTCGCACCCTTCCCCAAACGAGAATGTGTGGGAGATTTAGGTTACTGGGTACTGATGAGACAAAATCTTAATATCGAGAAGCTATAAATATTTGTGCTTCGACCCTCTGTGAGTCTAGAAGGTTGTCAGAAGAAAAAATTGTTAAAGAATCCATAGAATTCCCAAAACGCTTGTACTCGTACATAAACCAAAGGACTAAAAGATGAGGAAATACTCCAGCACTACTGGGAAACAGTAATAATTCATCATTAGTGGACGATTATAGTAAGACTCGAGCATTATCACACTACTTTAGCAACGTATATACCGCGGAGACACCCTTTCTGACAGTTCATACAAACCCCACACACACTGGACAATGCGACTACTAAAGAAATCGATGTCTTTGGTCTGCTAAATAAGCTTGATACAGGCAAATCCATGGGACCCGGTGAAATGCATCCTAGATCACTAAAGGAGCAAGCTAACTTCGTTGTGAACCCCCTAAGTATAAGTTTCAATCTATCCGTAACCCAGGGTCGATCACCAAAAGACTGGAAGAACGCCATAAGAACACTTGTCTTCAAAACAGATACGAAACATAAATGTGAGAACTATCGACCCATTAGCCTAGCCAGTGTGATTGTTAAAATTTCAGAAAAGATTATTCGGAAGCTGTTTACGTATCTCGGTTAAGACCGGATTTTTTCTGAGAAGTAGCACGGTTATTTCTGTCTCACTAACTTATTATTGACTCGTGAAAGTTGGTGCGCTCATAAAGACCGAATGTTACCTGAAGACGTAGTCTATAATGACTTCAGCAAAGCTTTCGACATAGTTCCTCACAATCAGCGATTATATATGTTTAGAAATATCGAGGTTCGAGGCAATTTATTATTGTGGATAAAATAAAATAAATGGCAATAATAAAACATTTAAATTCACATTTTTGTTTGCTTCGACCACTATAAAGCTGGCACTAGATTTATGAACTCTTAAATATCAAGCACCAAATTTACTATTTTAGACATTAGGCTTCAATTAAAAAGCTGCTTATTGGATACTAAGAATATGATCTACAAACACATAAGAAACATATTTACTTCATATGCAACGTACCCATTAAACGCTTGCGCTTCAAACTGTTTAAATGGTTCAAATGGTTGTGGACGGAATAGAAGCTTTCGCTTAACAGGCTTCCGTGTCTGGTAGCAGGGGATCACCAATACCTCCAGTCAGGAACCTAGGTATATAAACTATAATAGATTAGAAAAAAAGGAAATTGGTAACTCATAATAAGATCTTAGCCTGAGTCCTTAAGAATAGGTAAAGTTTCCTCTTAAAGGACTCCTGGGAAGTCGCTTGGATTAGTTCAGTCGGCAGGGAATTCCAGCATTTGACAACTCTTAAGGAGTAGAAGTTGTGTCTACAGTCCGTTCTGCTAAGCTGTATCTCCAATTTCTGGGTGTTACCCCTTAGGTTAGTATTGGGACTACGCTTAAGTAGGTGTTTAAGGGGATGTTCAGAAGTGTTAAGGATACTGTAAGCCATCAGAAGGTTTCCTCTAAGACTCCTATACTCTAATGGGTAAAGGTTAAGTGATTAGAGACGCTCTTCATAAGGTTCCAAGTAATTATGACTCGGTGTGAAAATCTGTATGCCACGGGTAATTTATTCGTTCTTGGCTTTTCTACTCGCCTGCCATGTCCTCTGAGATATCCCGATCTATTGGGAAGAAAAAGAGAGAATATATTAGGTCTAAAATCGTTTCTCAGTATTCTGTACATCAAAATTAGATCTCCCCTTAGTCTGCGATAGGACAGAGCAAAGAGTTCTTGCATTTCAAGCCACTCTTTGTATGGCAAACCCCAGAGTTCTCGAATTGCACGGGTAGCTGCCCTCTTTACCTCTTCTAAGTTACCATATTCATCTTTTAAGCAGGGGCTTGGATCCTGAACGCAGTTCTCAAGCTTAGTTCTTACTAAGGTTGTGTATACTGTAGTGAACATGGTAGTATTTATCTTGGTGAATGTCCGCCTTAAAGTCAATAGATTTCCAAACCCTTGAGCTGCGACTTCCCGGAAATGGGCCGTGGTCTTATGGTCATAACTCACTGACACCCAAGATCCTTGTGAGACCAGACCACGTGTACAGGCACTTCCCCTATGTTTTATCTGTTAAACTTTGCATCACCAAAGGTTTTGTAGACACATTTTACCGCGTTGATAGGCGTCAGCCACTGTTTAGATCAATTAATCACCATATTTAAGTCTATCTGAAGTGTGCACGTATCTGCGTCTCCCGTTATTTCTCGCTAGATTTTTAAATCGTCGGCGTATAATAACATTGGCGATTGTACTATACATGGGAGATCATTTACATACTGTATAAAAAGTAAAAGACCTAGTGCAGAACCTCGAGGTACTCCACCAAGTATTGGTCTCCAGGTGGGGCACTTCAAATTTACTCTTACTTTCTGTCCACGACCTACTAGGAAATCCTTAAGCCATTTTAAAAAAGGTCCGGCAATGCGAAGATTTTCTAACTTCTATAGCAGTTTATTAGTAGGCACCCTGTCAAAAGCCTTACTGAAGTTTATGTAGACAACATTCACTGGGTTTCCATTGTCTAGCGCCTTTGTCCGAAATCCCCTTGCTATAAGGAGCTTCGTTGTACAAGATAAACCCTTTCTAAAACCATGTTGTTCGCTGTTTAACAAGTTATTGGTTTCCATAAATGTGATTATGGTCCGTTTGATTATTTGTTTCAATATCTTAACTACAACATTGGTGAGGCTTAAAGGTTTGTAGTTTGATAGAAGTCGTCTTGGTCCTGTTTTATGTATGGAAGTGACGATTGCGTCCTTCCAGCCCATAGGTAACACACCTTGGTCAAGTGACATATCGAATATCACAATCAGTGGGGCCGCGATATATTGTGCAATCTGTCTCAAGATTTTGGGGTGTAGTTCATCTGGTCCTTTTGACTTTTCATATGTTTATGGTGCTAAGAGCCTTAAGTACATCGTCTTGATAGGAGTCCATGGTGAGCAGGTGTATGTTGACTCCGTATCTCACCATTTATCACGAGAACACGACTGGTTTAATAGAAACAATTCTTATTATAACCAACTGTACCAGTGTTTGTTTTAATGCGCTTTTGTTTAACTGTGCTAATGACAGCCATTTTGTGCTTTCATTCTTATACTTACACTTTGATTGTAACTTCGCGCGAATTCGGTTACGTTCTGTAACCAAGCTTCTATCCTCGCACGATCTCGGTATCCTTTCGATGCCACGAGATCGCCAGCGAATATATCTCGATTTGGTCCATTAACTGTCTTCTGATATTTGGCTTCTCGGGGATTTTATGGATCCATTTGGTTACGTTCGACCTTCGCCTTCTGATTCATTTGGCACGTGTTTCTTTGTGGTGGTGTTCATAGTTAACCTCAAATCGACGCCACGCTACAGACTCTGCTTTTCCCTGATCGTCCCCCATCATTTCAAATTCACTCCCTTCTTTACTTATGTTAGGAACCCAATAATACATCTTTGTTCTGTAGTTTATGTACGAGAATATTCTCTTGGGCTGCTTGAGTGCAGATTGTGCCAGCTGCATTTCATTTTTTCTTCGAGCTTCCCGAATTTTAGTTTACACTTGCTTCTTACCAATCTGTAACGTTTCATCGTATCTGCTGTGTCAAGGCAGATATCAACATTCCAACATTTCCTCTTTTGTCTTAGTTAACATCGAATATCCCGATCTTTCAAGGGATGGCCGTGCTTCATCTTCTTTGGGACTGTCCAGGGTATGTATGGTTGAGTTACCCGATTGTATAATTGCCTGAAATGAGTCCATGCCTCTTGTACTGATGCTCTTGAGTCAATTTCTCAGTTTGACTGCCTCCATATCTGCCTTCCATATATGAGGACGGGCCGGCGCAACTGCTTAACAGGCAATTTCAACCATGAATTTGAATAATACGACTGCACGGTCACTTCTCCCTAGTGGTGGGAGGAAAATCATTTGATCAACGTCATCACCGTGTGTGAAGACTAAACCTAAAAGAGATGAAGAGTTTCTTAAGTCATATCCTGTGGGATTTCTAAAGTGTTGGAATAAAGCTAATCCAATCGAGGTTTCTAACAGTTTGCGATTGAATGACGTTATCGATGACCCTACTTTTAAGTTAACCCAGTTTACATACGGTGTATTAAAGTTGCTTACTACAAGGCTTTTACCCTTGTTACACCAGGACTTAATTTTACTTAGGAGGAAATCATCTACTACACATTCTAAACTGCGATAAACTACAACTAATTCAATATCTTTCCGTCTACATTTCAGCTTGCATCACGCCAATTCACATTTCCCTGCAACGTGTGCCACTATCTCAACTGGTTGCATGGTTAAGATACGTTTCGTTTACAGGATAATCCCACCTCCCCTACGGTTTAATCTATCAGTCCTACTGAATAAAATCCAGTCAAACGAATTTCATTATATAATACTTCAGACGTTAACCAAGTTTCTGAGACAACAATAACATCCAGTTTTTCTTTATCCACCATTGAACTGAGCTCCACTATTTTATTTAGTAGGCTGCGGGAAGTTGTGTAGCATACCTTTAAGTCTGTGGAGAACTTTCCCTTGCTACCCAGAGTGGTTTGAGCATCGTCTGGCTCCGAACTTTTACAATTTGAAAACCCTTAAGTACGAGGTTTCTTTCACCTTTTCGGCGGCGCTCGTTTATTTCCACTTCTGCAGCCCGTCTCTTAATACGATCAGCTAGGCTGAGATCCTCACAGACGTATATGCCGGATCTAATCAGTTTACGTGAGTTACCTAGAATCAGGTTCCTTTCTTCAACCGTGGCAAATGTAACCTTCAAGAGGTGACCTTTCTCAGGAATTTCAGAATCCATCTTTTGTCCTATCCTATAAAGCTTACAGATGCTAACTCCTGAAACTGTCTTTTGGGGTAGCTTGCGTATTAAGGAAATAATACGACTGAAGTTGTGCTCAAATCTAACCTTTGGTTCCTTATCGGAAGATTCTCTTTACTCATGAAAAATGGCTGACCTCTCGAAGAGGTCTATCTTGACATGCTGTGGAATTTTAGTTCCTGAAACCATCTCTTCCTTGCAGTCCAATTTCAATTCAGCGTCAACCGCAGAGCTTATGTTCTGTTTTCTTACTTTTCTTTACCTAGGTGTGACTATGAGCCACTCATTTACCTTATTTTGTCTCTTGATTACTTCCTCTACATTACTCAGACTTGGCTCCCCTATGGTTTGTATTACATTGATATGTGAATCTGGGACTGAATCCGCAGATTCACATGCCGTAGTACTGTCTACAGGTAGTTTCTTCTTCTCACAATTCTGGTGTTTTGATACCTGACTAAAGTCTTCGCTCTGTCCATTGAAAGATATGAACTGAGTGAGCTTGTGGCTGTAAATGAATCCGCAAAATAAATGGTTCCGTAAGTCGTTGACACTGATGCTAACCTCATTAGGAGCGCGCTATGTAAAAAGAACTGTGGTATTTTCCCTTGTTCAGTTAAATTTCCTGTTTTGATCGTAATCTACGCATCAAAACTACTATTTCCTTTTATAATGAAATCGTTTCAGTTAAAGTGACTTCGTATTTGTGTGTATTGACTTTGCTTTTGTGTATTTATTGCATCAAAGTAAACATAGTTGATTTTGATCTAATTTATTCCAGTTAAGGCTTGAAATTTTGCCCCAAATCCATTATTGTGTTATCATTTTCAGTTGATTTTTGAGATGATTAGCTCTGTTTACAGATGTGAATGGACGTACTGCGGAGGAAGGAATGCAGTATGATGA